CCCCCCCCCCTTACATTTAGGGAGTAGAGACTTACCTCCAGTGGTAGGTGTATTTCCATGGGGGTATAGGTGGGCCCTCAGTATGACCCCTCCCCCAACACACATTAGGGAGTAGAGACTTACCTCCAGTGGTAGGTGTATTTCCATGGGAGTATAGGTGGGCCAGTAGCCCATTGTGAGGATGTTCACTGTCAGTTCTATACCTCCTGGTGAGTCAATGTGCTGCATATACTGTGGAATCAAACCCGAAGTCATTGATTAAATATAAAATATCTGTACCACACATGTCTGTGTCATGTTAACCAAGCTGTCAATAGACATGAATTATAGGCATCTTGATTTGTTCACCACTGTGTGAACAGACCATGAATAATATAAATATACATGACTCATCAAGAATTTATGAATTTCAACTTCAGTTTTTATATTAAAGTAAAGACTGTGATAATGATATATATTTTATCTGAGCTTTATCTCAAACTGTGACCTTTCAGTGATTAGGAAGTTAATTCTGAAGCAAATAAATCAGACTTAAAAAAATCCGAAATCATTTTTTTTTTTTAGAGTAGTAATAGCCAAAATATGTTCATAACTAATCAGTCATGTTTTGCCTCATTTGTGTATTTCAAATCTGGTTTTTGTTGGTTGAATTTTCTTTTTAGGTTTATCCTAATCTCAATCATCTGAGTGCTTGAAAATAAGTGTCTCACTTCTGTATAAAGTGAATGTTACGTTTTATTTAAAGGTTGTTTTATTTAAAGGTTATCCTAAAACCAATCATTAAATTGTCTGTTTAAATGTTTTCTTCCATTTCAGAAATACAGACCGACAAATATAAGGGTAACCCTTTATGTTCTCAATTTTCATACTGAATAAATGAATACATTACCTGCTTGAAAGTTAGCATGAAATCCTTTGACAGCTCCATATCTTTGAACATTCCCTCTAACTTACTCGTGAAGGCAGCACCACATTCTGAAGTAGAATATAGGTTAGATTACCTGAACTAACCATAGAATATAGGTTAGATTACCCGACATTAAGCTAGTAACAGATAACTCAACACTGGCATTAGACTTCTATGACCGTCTGTGCACCACCACAGGTACATGGCAGGTCCATTGTTCAACAGTAAGGCAGCTGTGATATATGGCTCTAGGTTACGACAAACTGACTTGATAATAAATGGAGTGTACTGTATACTAAAATTTAAGTTTACTAAAGCATTGAACTGCTTTCAGCTGGCAATCATAGTCAATATGAAACACACTAGCACACCTAGACGAATGCTTGTATTGCATTACCACTTACAGGAAATTTTATTTCTAATCTCACAAAATAACATTATTTTTTTTATAAGTCAGCATTTAGTTCATATTTGATAATATATTTTGTATGGTTGATCAATAAACAGAACAGCCAACTTAAGAAATGGTACCCAATGTTACAAACATAATAATGATATTAAATACTGATCTTTCCTACCTTGTTTGAGCTTCGACAGCATGGATTTCTCTGCATCGACTGAGGCACTCTTTCCCACAAGAAGCCTCTTAGCCAGGTCCTTCTTGTAGAAAGCCTCGAACACATCTTTACCTGTACTCAAAATAGAATGTCGGTATGTAGTGTCAGAACAGAAACTTGGGTGTATACAGAGTCAGACCAGAAACTTGGGTGTATACAGAGTCCGACCAGAAACTTGGGTGTATACAGAGTCAGACCAGAAACTGTTACTGTGTCTCACATTATCAAAGTTTGTAGAACATTTCAGTAATTGTGAATTATTTCTTGGGTTTGTTATGACCAATCATCCTCATGTTTTTTACTACTGTATTTACCACCATAAAATGTCAATGTATTTTTTTCCTAAATATTCTAAATATTTCTTTTATTATAGCCTACTACCCCCCCCCCCACTCCTCCCAGTAACAATTCCTCTATATCCTTAGTGATCAATGATATAACACTGTCCTTATATCCCTAAAGCCCCTTTATAGTGCTAAAAGGTGACGGTATAACAAGGTTTTACTGTCTATGAAGTAACAGGGACTGATCAATGTTTCTGTGATACGTACCATGTATAAACCTAAAGAGGACCATGATCTTGTCGAGAAGTCTCTCCAGTTCCTCCTCCGTGGCTTCCTTGTTCCCAGCTCGTAACTTGGAATCCACATATTTGGCTGGGTAAAAATTACAGAAACATAAACCATCAAAGAATTTGATCCAAAAAACATATTTTACCATTTCCTGACCTGCATGTCATTTTCCAATAAATTCACAGAGCCATCTTTAAAACGGATCTTTTGATGTAGAATTTTCAACAAGTCACCAATTTTATTTTTTTTCACAAAATTGTTTCTATCTTGTCGCATGCAATGGCAGTTTTACATTTTCATGTCTTTCCTAGGATAAATTCAATATTGACCATTCCAATGCATATTTTCTTTCAGTATACTCGACAATACTGGGCGTGTCGTTCAGTATACTCGACAATACTGGGTGTGTCCAAAACCTTTTTCAGTATACTTGACAATATGTGAGTGTCCAAGATCTTGTTCAGTATACTTGACAATATGCGAGTGTTCAAAACCTTGTTCAGTATACTTGACAATATGCGAGTGTCCAAAATCTTGTTCAGTATACTCGACATAATGCGAGTGTTCAAAACCTTTTTCAGTATACTTGACAATATGCGAGTGTCCAAAATCTTGTTCAGTATACTCGACAATATGTGAGTGTCCAAAATCTTGTTCAAGTATGCTAGAAAATGGCAATTTAACCATAAAAGTTTGATCTTCAGTTGGTGAAATTAGCAGTTATTGTTTTAGCTCTAAGGTTTTGATACAGGTTGTCTTAGTAACCCGTTAAACGTACTATACAAAATGCAATATTTGGATGCAGCGGGGATACTTCTCCCAGTCACAGAAATTCTGACATCACGTGAAGCAGAAAAGCCCAGGGGAACCACCAAAAACAAGTAGCAGCTTAAAACATACTATACTAATCACTTCACCAATAAAGATACCCCACATTAGTTAGGCTGGATTTTTCACTGACAAATACTTTAATACAAATTTGCTTTCATTGTATTGACTAATCTTTTTATTCTGAAATCTTACCAATAAGTTCTGCTGGTTTGTTCTGTCGAACGTTGACAAAATTTTCGAAACTTTCTTTCATTGCATTGACAAACTTGTCATTTTTGTTGAAGCAAACAGTGATGATGTTGTCAGTTTTGTCTTTGAAATCTGAAAAATAGGAGAAATATAGTGATATTCTATCTATATCTAAGTTTACATGGGAGTGAATGTTTCTAATGTTTGGCAACAGACATATCAGGAATTCTTAACATGAAAACAAAATATCATGCAGTTATGGACATTTCAGGGGGCATATATTAACAAATTTTCATTCAGGAAAATGGATCGTTAAAAAATAATCTTCATTTATGTGACGCTTAGTAATTCTACAAAAAGCAAAAATGTTTTATCAATGTTTTCATAATTAACTCACACTAATGTCTCTTTCTAACATTTTGATTTCAAAGGTTCCAAAATTGATTAATCAGTAAGACAAGCAATGTCATCACTTGAAACTGACATACCACTGCAATTATCTCAACAACCTACATATTTTGAATATTACGACAATAGATAAAGGTTTTGATAAAACAGGAGAAATTGTATATAAACAAAGAGTGTAGAAAATAACTTGCTTACCTAGAAGACACTGTACCATGTCCTTGTCTTTTTCTGGATCATTGTCGCTGTTTATCACAATTAAACGCCCAGTCGACTACAAAAATGAACAAAACAATCCTGTATGGGAACAGTTTAACCATTGACAAAGGTCTAATCGTTCATTGGTCAACATCTGTGGATTACAATTACGAGACATGCTTTTCTTATGTTCTGTTGGTGTACCTGACACAAAAAGTCACATTGATTATCAGCATCGACAAATCATTTACAGATCTTACAAGAAAACATACTGTAAAAACCCATGTAATTTGCGCAGGTACTTTTTGAGGCTGAAAATCCCCCAAAAAGCTTCTACTCAAATATTTTGCTTGCACTGAAGAGGATTGAATAATTTTTGGTTTGGTTTGTTTGTGTTTTACTTCCTATTAATCATTTACGCTTTTTCATTTAAGGACGTGCCAGGTTTTGGTGGTGGAGGAAAGCCGGAGTTCCCGGAGAAAAACCACCGACCTACGGCCAGTACCTGGCGACTGCCCCACGTAGGTCTTGAACCACCGACCAAGTGGTTGAGGGCTAGTGGTTGCAGAATGTCAGACACCTTAACCACTTAGCCACCGCAGCCCCGGATTGAACGACAATGAATAAATGTTGTTCAATCAGAGATCTCCACAGAGACCTCCACTTACCTTGATGAACAGCCAGATAGTATAGGCTGACAGAGACCTCCACTTACCTTGATGAACAGCCAGATAGTATAGGCTGACTGAGATCTCCACTTACCTTGATGAACACAGAGAATGCTGTACACAGATCCTTGAGTCCGTCTCTCACTCGGGTAAACAGCTGGTACATAAGTGTTAGCTCCATGATTCTGTTCTCTGATAACAGCTGGTCTAGACCTGGCCAATAACAAAGTATGTAAACACATGTCAACAAGAAATAACCTTATACGTACTATAATATAATAATACTGATACAGACATTTTTTCCAGCCATGCAATGAGAAGATGTATTCAGAACCAGAGGCCCAATGGGCCTGCATCGCTCACCTGGTAATAATCTCACACTTGTAATCTTAAAAGTGGACTAAAATACAGCTACAGGCAGAATATCAGGGGCAATTGACCCCTGTGACCATGAAAATAGATGAAGGTCATTCATTTGAACAAACTTGGTAGCCCTTCTTCTCAGCATGCTACTGGCCAAATATCATCATCCTGCAACCTTTGGTTATTCAGAAGAGGTTGTTTAAAGTTTTTGACTTATTTGACCCCTGTGACCTTGAAAATAGGTGAAGGTCATTTATCTTAACAAACTTGGTAACCCTTCATCCCAGGTTGCTTCTGGCCAATGTCATCATCCTAGGCCTTTTGGTTATTGAGAAGAAGTTGTTTAAAGTAAAATATTGACACTGGACGCCTGACGGACGGAAGGATGCCGCACCATGGCATAAGCTCACTGGGCCCTTCGGACCAGGTCAGCTAAAAATTGTAATTAAATCAATAAATTGAAACTCAAAATGGGTGAAATGACTTAAAAATATGTTTTGTTTATTGCTATGGTAACATGTCTCCTATAATGATACACTAGAGGTACATATTTTAGCCAGCACTTTTCAGACTTTTAAATATTGTGTTAAATCATAATTGCACAATTGAAATTATTGTAGATTGTTTTCTGGGTATGCAAATTCATAAATGAGCTGATCTGTTATAATTTGATAGTTCAATGTGTTAAAATTTGAGTAATCTAAAGTAAGTATGTTTACATTATCCTTCTGTCAATCTTATTATAAACACATGATTTCGTGATACAAATGTACATTTGTCCATGTTTATCGTGTGCCATTCCTTCCACAGACATCATTCATTATACTTATTCAAACTAATACCAAGTATGTAATCGAAGCTACACCTGATGTCTTTGACTGAACATTACACATCCCAATGTATTGCACAGACATATATATCCACCTGTTTTCCATCCCTCCACAAACCTGAACTATATTAATTGTGAGATAAAGATGTATGTATACCTCCCCCCATTTCTGTATCCCTTTGTACCCTACCTTTCTGAAGGATCTGTCCCAGATGTTGCTCCAGTAGCTGTTTCTCTACACAGCAGACAAGTGGTTTTCTGTTGAAGTAAAATAAGGTACACATGTGGTAGATTTACTCTTAAAAGTATATGATGCTCTATACTCCTAAACTTTTGAATTCCTTATTTCTTCTATAGCAAGAATATATTCCTGGAATAAGTCTAAGTGGAGAATTTATATACCCACATCTTACAGAGAATGAAAATGTGCAAAATTCCTTCAGCTGCTTACAGTAAAATCTTGATATAATGTTTTTTCATTTCATTTACCACCTCAGTTTCAGATCTTCTTTCTGATTGATCCAAAACAATACAAAGACCCTTTATAATGCTAAGAATTTGCTGGACAATCGTTTGCAGTATAATAAGGTTCGATAGCTGGAATTAATATTTCGATCGACAAATTTGCCAAAAAAGTCCTTTAAAAGAAAAGATCACTTAACATTCAGGAATATTTTTCTCCTTATTTTGGGGAAAGTTGATATCTTCTTTGTAAAATATTTGTTTGAGTTTGAGAGATTCATGGGAGGTCCGCATGTGTCACACGGGCGGTCACCTCTCTGTGTCTAAAGATACTACAAATTACCAACTTCTCTGCTGTATTTTCATGCACTTTTATACTTTTAATCTCATTATAGTAATTTTCAAATGCCATAACATCAAATCATTTTTACATAATCAATCTGATACATGAATAAATGATAACACTTACTTTGTTGATTGATCCAGATAGTGTAGTAATCTTTCAGATTCCTCACTTAGTCGCTTGTCAACATAAGCCAAGTATTCCGGAACCTACAACATTTACGAGATAAAATCTTACTGATAAACATATGCATAATGAACCCCAGAAAACAAGATACTGATGGGACATGTACTGCTCCCCTGTTATCTACAATTGGCAAAACTTTCCCAGCCAACTTGAGATCAGGGTGGTAATGTTGGACAAACAACGCCCATTTTGTTTGTGTTTTACGTGCTACTTACAGCTATGGTCATTTAAGGGTATGCCAGGTTTTTGTGGTGGTGGAAACTACCGACTTTTGGACAGTACCTGGTGGCTGCCCCACGTAGGCCTCGAACCCGCAACCCAGTGGTAGAGGGCTAGTGGTAGCAGAATGTCAGACGCCCTAACCACTTGGCCACCGTGGCCCCCAACACCCAGACAGTGAGGGTAACATTAGTCCCAATTTAAGTTACAATTCTGTGAAACTTTTGCGTCAAAATGTCTCCATCAATGAGATGACATAGTGGCAATCTTGAATTTACAAATCCCAAACGGTCTTATGGAAGTTGAAAAGTCAAAATTGTCAATAAGAAAGAAAAGTGCCCATCTTAGATTACCAAATAGCCCCAAAACAGTTGGTTCATGATCATTTGCATTTGGTATGGTTAAAATAGGAGCACTAGAAGAGGTTGGAAATGTCAAAGACCCCCCAGGGTTTCACAACCTGCCCGTGTTTAACATTGAATATATGTGAAGCACGATAATGCTGTTTTTTTACTATTCTGGTCTGTCCATGTGCCCTGTCATATTGACAACAATTGTGCTATTGTTTAAGTGTAATGTTGTGATAATGCTGTCATCGTGCTAAAACTGACTGCTGATCATCTTTCCAAAGCTAAAATGCTGAGATCTACTCTGTCCGATGCGAGATAAATAATGTTCAGACTTACAGATAAGGTTTATCATTGTCAGCAAACTACAATGCCAAATACTCAAGAAAGAGAAACTGTTGATGTCCTGAGTGATAGAAAGGGAGAAGATATAGATATACGAGTGAGTGAGTCATTGTCTGGGGTGATATAGATATACGAGTGAGTGAGGCATTGTCTGGGGTGATATAGATATATGAGTGAGTGAGGCATTGTCTGGGGTGATATAGATATACGAGGGAGTGAGTCATTGTCTGGGGTGATATAGATATACGAGTGAGTGACTCATTGTCTGGGGTGATATAGATATACGAGTGAGTGACTCATTGTCTGGGGTGATATAGATATACGAGTGAGTGAGGCATTGTCTGGGGTGATATAGATATACGAGTGAGTGACTCATTGTCTGGGGTGATATAGATATACGAGTGAGTGAGTCATTGTCTGGGGCGATATAGATATATGAGTGAGTGAGTCATTGGCTGGGGTGATATAGATATATGAGTGAGTGAGTCATTGTCTGGGGGGATATAGATATATGAGTGAGTGAGTCATTGTCTGGGGGGATATAGATGTATGAGTGAGTGAGTCATTGTCTGGGGGGATATAGATATACGAGTGAGTGAGGCATTGTCTGGGGTGATATAGATATATGAGTGAGTGAGGCATTGTCTGGGGTGATATAGATATACGAGTGAGTGACTCATTGTCTGGGGTGATATAGATATACGAGTGAGCGAGTCATTGTCTGGGGTGATATAGATATACGAGGGAGTGAGTCATTGTCTGGGGTGATATAGATATATGAGTGAGTGAGGCATTGTCTGGGGTGATATAGATATACGAGTGAGTGAGTCATTGTCTGGGGGGATATAGATATACGAGTGAGTGAGGCATTGTCTGGGGTGATATAGATATACGAGTGAGTGAGTCATTGTCTGGGGGGATATAGATGTATGAGTGAGTGAGTCATTGTCTGGGGGGATATAGATATACGAGTGAGTGAGGCATTGTCTGGGGTGATATAGATATACGAGTGAGTGAGTCATTGGCTGGGGTGATATAGATATATGAGTGAGTGGGTCATTGTCTGGGGTGATATAGATATACGAGTGAGTGAGTCATTGTCTGGGGGGATATAGATATATGAGTGAGTGAGTCATTGTCTGGGGTGATATAGATGTATGAGTGAGTGAGTCATTGTCTGGGGTGATATAGATATACCAGTGAGTGATATAGGCTATATAACTTACATCTCTTTCTTGCATCAGTCGCTGTCCTTCGGCAGCATATAGTCTGTCTGTAGCCTCAATAAACTTCTTTTCAAAGGCTTCCTGATAAATCTAGATAACATAAAGGCATCCTGATAAATCTAGATAACATAAAGGCATCCTGATAAATCTAGGTAACATAAAAGTTTCCTGATAAATCTAGATAACATGAAGGCATCCTGATAAATGTAAGTAACATAAAGGCTTCCTGATAAACCTAGATATCATAAAGGCTTCCTGATAAATCTAGATATCATAAAGGCTTCCTGATAAACCTAGATATCATAAAGGCTTCCTGATAAATCTAGATATCATAAAGGCTTCCTGATAAATCTAGATAACATAAAGGCATCCTGATAAATCTAGGTAACATAAAGGTTTCCTGATAAATCTAGATAACATAAAGGCATCATGATAAATCTAGGTAACATAAAGGCATCCTGATCAATCTAGGTAACATAAAGGCTTCCTGATAAATCTAGATACCGTAAAAACCCATGTAATTTGCGCATCTGTTAATTTGCGCAGGTACTTTTTGAGGCTGAAAATAGGGAAAAAAGCTTCTACTCGAATATTTTGCACACCCAAAAAATCTGGAAAAAAAACGATGTTCATGTTCCGAAAACCGATCTCTGAATATTTTTTTTAAAAATATATTTCTATGATTTTTTTTTCATTGATGTAAAATGATATTTAAAACCAAGAAGAAACTACGTTAAATGTGTATTTTGTTGCTTGTTTTCTTTGAATTATCTGATAACACGTGTGCGCATATCGGCATACATCAATTCATTTTAGCAATATTTTACTTAAAACATTTTTTTGCTTACAAAAACATATCAATTAATGAGTAATTCGATGTTTAGTAACCGCTGGTGCATATCTCCTGGTGAAAGACATAATTAGATACCTTTTATTGATCATAATTACGATCAGTGAGAAGGGCTCATCATGGCGGCTTGGGTTACGTCACTTCAAACCAGGTCATGTCACAGTTCAGTTTGGCCACGGAATTAGATTATCTAAATCTGTGGTTTGGCGATATTTTTTACAAATTACAATGCAGTAATTAGCTAACACTATCTCTGTGATTACCCGCTTACAATAGCTCTACTAATTGAAATGATTTGCAGTCGCGATCGACGGACCGTGTTGTTGTTTTTTTCACTCACCAACACGCGGCGTGAATTATGAAGCCCTACTGCATTGTCATAACTACAGACTGATTTGACTGATAAGGGATTATAAAAAATATGTTTATACTAGAAACGTGGACAATCAATACATCCTCTTCAAATCTACTCCATGGAAAAAAATATTTAACGCAGACTATTTTTACGATGCTTCATTTAATAAATATTGAAATAATTCACGAGGTTATTATCAATCACGTGTTTACGTAATGTTAGACACGAGATCAACATGAAAGTGAGCTGGAAAAAAACCATGCTGTACGTATACGCATAGGCGATTTGAAAAAAACTTATAGAACTTACATGGAACGAAGCTTAAATTGAACAACTTATACATTTTCGTAATAGTATGGGGAAACGCACCGAGATGTCGAAACGTAATGTCGTAAGTTGATCGGCGATTATCTGGCATAGCAATTTGGCTAAACTTTTTTTGTCAACGGTTACCTATTTAATAACACTTTTCACATAAACTCACATGACAACACATTATGTATCTTTTATTAATGTTTGACATAAATGAATTTGTTGATAGTTATTTGCCTTAGAGTTCCGTGTACCAAGGGAAATAATCCAAGATGGCGATCTCCCAGAATCGTCGATCTTTTCCTGAAAAAAACTTAAAATTTTCTACACCTGTGTATTTTACGCACCCCCCACTTCGGGTATTAAATTTCTGAAAAAAAAGTGCGCAAATTACATGGGTTTTTACGGTATCATAAAGGCTTCCTGATAAATTTCGGTAAAATAAAATCAATGTGATGCATGCGTTAAATGTACATCAGACAGTCTCTTAATCTTTACCTTTAGATAGAATATCAGCTGTAACAGAACTTACCTGTAGGTAAGACATCAGCCCTAAGAGTGCTTACCTGTAGGTACGACATCAGCCCTAAGCTTACTTACCTGTTGGTAAAGAAATCAACTCTAAGCTAACTTACCTGTAGGTAAGACATCATCTCTAAGCTAACTTACCTGTAGGTAAGACATCAGCTCTAAGCTTACTTTCCTGTAGGTAAGACTTCAGCCCTAAGCTAACTTACCTGTTGGTAAAGACATCAACTCTAAGCTAACTTACCTGTCGGTAAGACATTAGCTCTAAGCTTACTTTCCTGTAGGTAAGACTTCAGCCCTAAGCTAACTTACCTGTAGGTAAGACATCAGCTCTAAGAGAGCTTACCTGTAGGTAAGACATCAACCCTAGGCTTACTTACATGTAGGTAAGACATTAGCCCTAAGCTAACTTACCTGTAGGTAAGACATCAGCCCTAAGAGAGCTTATCTGTTGGTAAGACATCAGCCCTAAGTTTACTTTCCTGTAAGTAAGACTTCAGCCCTAAGCTAACTGACCTGTAGGTAAGACATCAGCTCTAAGAGAGATTACCTGTAGGTAAGACATCAGCCCTAAGCTTACTTACCTGTTGGTAAGACATTAGCCCAAAGCTAACTTACCTGTTGGTAAGACATTAGCCCAAAGCTAACTTACCTGTTGGTAAGAAATCAGCCCTTAGCTTACTTACCTGCAGGTCAGACAGCATCCTTAACAGACTTTTCATCAACTGTCTGTCCACAGCCTCGCCATTCCGTTCCCGCTTTATCAGCTGGAGCAGTCCATCTACAGTCCGAGTCTGTACAATATGGTGGCCCACAATCTGAGAGCGGAATAGATCCAGTCCCATGTCCCTGTACAGGATTCAAGTCTCAGATTTATTAAGGAGACAATAAAACAAAAGCAGGCATCACATGCCATCACATACATTAACTTATCAGGCCTGTAGCTATAAGTGGCGTAACGGTAACTTGGCATAACCGTAACTGGAAACAGCATTAACTGAGCTTGACTTGAGATCGATTCGGTAATTGATTTAGCACATGAAAAATTTCTTTGTAGGTTTATCATGAAGAACTGAAATTCTTTAGATACAAATAGTTGCTTTACATGTTTAATCAACATAAAACGTCCCTTTCATCAGTTCTTGTTGATTCTTGCTTGAATCATGCCAGCATTCAAGTAACCTACCGGTTATTGTCAATTTCTGAAGTACCTTTTCTCATCATTTGAATGTCTATTAGATAAACTTCTTAGCTAAATAACATGTAGTTATATCAATATTTTTTAATGATTGGACACAATGTCAATTTAGTAAACGTATTATTTTTGGCGCGCATTTCAACCCATAATTGATTACCGATCAATCTTGAGGGTCCGATAATCGATCTTTAATATATTAATATTGGACTGATTCCCAGCACTAGTAGCCATACATAACACTTTCTGGATTCGAAATAAACTCTTGATACAGCAATAGGTAAGATTCCTAAAATGACTTTGACAGCAATAATTGTAGTCCGAGCTACTGTCATGCTTCCTATTTTATAATTGTATGATCTTTTATGGATAAATTAACTAGGACCAGCTTTAACATGACAGACGGACAGTGTGATTCCAGTATTAACATAACCCCAAAATTTGTGATGATGCAATAACTTGTCAGATTTAACAACAAGAGGCCCATGGGCCTTAACGGTCACCTGAGTCTACAGTATTTATTTTTGTTGTTGAAATATGTACCATTTTGAGTAAAAATTAGTATAATGTTAACTTAACTTTGTCAGGACCATGAGCTGATCATTCCTAGACCAATTTTAAGTGAGATCGGCCTATTAGAACTTAGTAGCAAAATAGCGGCCATGGCAGCCAAATTGTATTTCTGATTGACCCGAAAAATAACAACACTTTGTCAGGACCATGATTCGATCATTCCTACAAAGTTTCAGTTCAATCGGCCAAGTAGATCTTTACTTTAAGTTTGAAATAGTTTTTCAAAATGGCAGCTGTGGTGGCCATATTGGATTTCTGATCGACCTGAAAAATAACAACACTTTGTCAGGACCATGAGTCAATCATTCCTACAAAGTTTCAGTTCAATCGGCCTAGCAGAACTTGACTTTAAGTTTGAAATATGTTTTCAAAATGGTGGCCGTGGCGGCCATATTGGATTTATGATTGACCTGAAAAATAACAACACTTTGTCAGGACCATGAGTCGATCATTCCTACAAACTTTAAGTTCAATCGGTCCAGCAGAACTTGACTTTAAGTTTGAAATAGGTTTTCAAAATGGCGGCCGTGGTGGCCATATTGGATTTCTGATCGACCCAAAAAATAACAACACTTTGTCAGGACCATGAGGCGATCATTCCTACCAACTTTCAGTTCAATCGGTCCAGCAGAACTTGACTTTAAGTTTGAAATAGGTTTTCAAAATGGTGGCCGTGGCGGCCATATTGGATTTCTGATCGACCCGAAAAATAACAACACTTTGTCAGGACCATGAGGCGATCATTCCTACCAACTTTCAGTTCAATCGGTCCAGCAGAACTTGACTTTAAGTTTGAAATAGGTTTTCAAAATGGCGGCCGTGGCGGCCATATTGGATTTCTGATCGACCCGAAAAATAACAACACTTTGTCAGGACCATGAGGCGATCATTCCTACCAACTTTCAGTTCAATCGGTCCAGCAGAACTTGACTTTAAGTTTGAAATAGGTTTTCAAAATGGCGGCCGTGGCGGCCATATTGGATTTCTGATCGACCCGAAAAATAACAACACTTTGTCAGGACCATGAGGCGATCATTCCTACCAACTTTCAGTTCAATCGGCCCAGCAGAACTTGACTTTAAGTTTGAAATGTAAAATGTTAACGGACGACGGACGACGACGGACGAAAACGGATAGCAATAGGTCACTTGAGCTAAAGCTCAGGTGACCTAAAAAGGCAGGGTGATTCTAATATAAAACCCTGCCCCTTGACAATTTCAATTCTTTACCAGCTGTATAGGGTAAACCAAACTGTGTTTGTGATTGTATAATTTCTTACAAGCTGTATAGGGTAAACCAAACTGTGTTTGTAATTGTATGAATCTTACCAGATGGACATGATTGAAGAGGTCTGTAGCACATACGTCCGGTCTAGGTACAAGAAGATGCTCCGTATCATTATCTGTTGACAGAAATATCACGTTTTAATATAATAGAATCCAAACCAATCAAAGAGCTTTGACTGAAAAAAATACCAAATTTCTGGTCAATATCATCCTCGATATCCAGGGGTTACGTTCACTTTCACTCTCGCACCCTAGGAATATGTCATAGCAAAATTGAAGGCATGCGTCTAGTTTTTTTAATGGTGTCAGGTAAACAAGAGGCCCATGGGCCTTAACGGTCACCTGATATATTTATACAGAGAGTTAATTTTGTTTTTAACATGAACAGAAATATTATTCAAAGTGACAAAAAACAATAAAACCACCTTATTCAATATCTAGCATACAGATTTCAGACTAAAAAGTATTTGAAACTAGCACCTCTGATTCTAAACAAGGAAAATGAAGAAATTTTAGCACACTGACTCCTTTGAGCCCCACCCTACAGCCCTTGGGGGTAGGGCTGGCTCAAAATTTTCAAAGTATCAAACTGTCAACTCAAGGTTATAATTCCAATCAAGTTATTAACATGTAATATTCAAAGTATCATTTGCCATTATAAACCATAATAAATTTTGCCCCCCCCCTTCTCCCCCAGGGGGTAAACGTGAGACCCTAGGGTCATAAACCTTAAGACCCTTCCATCTATGAAGAGTATTTGATTCTACCATATCTGGGTCTTGAGAAGAAGATTTTTGAAATTTCAGTAAATTCGACCCTTTTTGGCCCCACCCATCAGCCCCTGGGGGTCAGTCAGGGCTGATATGTGCTTATTATCAAACTGCTACCTAATACTGATAATGCTAACCCAAATTGAATTACTTCCAATGGAAATTAAACAAATGTTGGTCCAAAATGTGATTTCCCTATATAAACTATAGTAAAGTTTACCCCCTCCCCAGGGGGAAACGTGAGACCCCAGGGTCAAGAAATTCACAATTTCGGTAAAGCACCTTAAGACCCTTCCATCTATGAAGAGTATTTGATTCTACCATATCTGGGTCTTGAGAAGAAGATTTTTGAAATTTCAGTCAATTCAACCCTTTTTGGCCCCACCCATCAGCCCCTGGGGGTCAGTCAGGGCTCATAGGTGCATACTATCAAACTGCTACCTAATACTGATAATGCTAACCCAAATTGAATTACTTCCAATGGAAATTAAACAAATGTTGGTCCAAAATGTGATTTCCCTATATAAACTATAGTAAAGTTTACCCCCTCACTGGGCGAAACGTGAGACCACAGGGTCAAGAAATTCACAATTTTGGTAAAGCACCTTAAGACCCTTCCATATATGAAGAGTATTTGATTCTACTATATGTGGGTCTTGAGAAGAAGATTTTTGAAATTTTAGTCAATTTGACCCTTTTTGGCCCCGCCCCTCAGGCCCCTGGGGGCTTGGGACTAAACCGGCAACTATTTGTGTTGACCTTTGGCCATGGAAGGTCCCTGCAGGATTTCACTGAAATTGGTTCAGGGGTTTTGGAGAAGAAGTCGAAAATGTAAATTGTTTACGGACGGACGACGACGGACAAAAGGCGATCGCAATAGGTCACTTGAGACTTTGTCTCAGGTGACCTAAAAAACCTGACCAATCAATAGGCTGATACTTGTTCTTTGAAGAGTACAGAGGAGGGATGCCCGACTTCAAAGCCAACAAGTTTTACCGTTAAGTGAACCTGAGATTCTTTTGATGTAGATCAAAGGATCAAACTAGCCTTCTCATCTCATCCACAAGGCGGTGCACACTGAGCCTTCGATTTTGCTTTGACATATTCAAGGGGTGTAGGGAGCGAAAGTGAGTGAACCTCTGGATATCGAGGATGGGTCAATCTACTTTCTATAAGACCAAAACATACTTTTGTACAAGAATTTGATTACCTGACCTTGAAAGTGTATTGGGTTTTTTTTCTTTCATAAAACATACTAACTTCTAATAAAGGAAAATTGGCAGTGCAGAAAAAGGTCCATAGTGAAACATTTTCCATTTCTAACACTGCTTTAAAGAGGTCAAACTGTATATATATTTAAGATGAACTTGTGTAATATAAAGATCCTTGATCCTAGTGAGCTTCAGTTTAGACAGGGTTCACTGTACAGTGAAACCTTCATCCATGTATATCATACTCTTAGTGTTTTATTAGCTATCTCACATACTCCAACATATTTTAAGGCCCCTTTTCATTTCTTCAGAACAATTTCTGTATTATTGTCTCCCTCCATGCATAGCCAAATCTTCTTGCTGGAAACTTATGACAATATAAGGAGGTTTAACTGTAGATTGGGTCAATTATGACAATATGAGGAGGTCTGACTGTAGCTTGGTTCAATTATGACAATATAAGGAGGTTTGACTGTAGATTGGGTCAATTATGACAATATAAGGAGGTTTGACTGTAGATTGGTTCAATTATGACAATATAAGGAGGTCTGACTGTAGCTTGGGTCAATTATGACAATATAAGGAGGTCTGACTGTAAGATTGGTTCAATTATGACAATATAAGGAGGTCTGACTGTAGATTGGGTCAATTATGACAATATAAGGAGGTTTGACTGTAGATTGGGTCAATTATGACAATATAAGGAGGTTTGACTGTAGATTGGGTCAATTATGACAATTTAAGGAGGTTTGACTGTAGATTGGGTCAATTATGACAATATAAGGAGGTTTGACTAGATTGGTTCAAACTTACCATCTGTCTGCAGTGATCCTTCCAGCAACTGTCCATCATTTTTAGGAACTGTTCATACCCTTTATTCTCTGTACCAAGCATTAAGGATTCAAAATGATAAACAGTGTATGTTTTTGCTTCTATTATATGTACAGGAGCCATTTTCTGGATGGATTTGGTTGGGGTCATTGACCCCTTTTGCTACGAATTCCCATCTCAATTTTTTTGTAGTTGCTAAAAGCGCTATAAAATATGACTGGTCATATGAATCTTCATCATTTCTCAGAGATACTCTCCAGATTTACGTATGGCATCCACTATCTAAAGAAGTGCTGGCTATAAAATTCAATAAATAGGACCCCTCTGAGATTAACTGTGGTCATTCTGCTTATTTTTACTGGTTTTACAACTACATTTGAATCCTGTGGTCCTTTTGAGTTTCTCAGCATAAAAAGGCATGAGGTGCTATCAGCACAAAATCTTATTGTGTCATAGTTCAATTTCTTGATCCATCATTTTGTTTTGTATTATTATCAAATTATAATCTCCTGTGGGTGACACAGGTATCATGAAAGTTTCATTTAGATATCTTCAATGATATATTAATATTTGAATCCAGGACAAGACTTAACTAAATAAAATTGCACTTATTCGAGGTATATTCGGTCTTTGACCTACAGGTGAAAATCAAACTAATGGTGACGTAATTACTTTTACATGGCATTTCATGGAAACAACTTTTACTGATGATGCAGGTAATAATATAGTTCAAGTTCCATCAAGATATTTTATCTTACCGCCTGAACAACATATCTGTTATCAGAAGAAGACCCAGAAGAACCTGTACCAATACTGAAACTAACCAATTAGTGAGATCTATACCCAAACGAGTCAAAGTTCTGTACAACAGGTTTATAACTGGTGCTTTTTCACAAAGGATATTCGAGAAACTGCTTTATGTTGGCTTTGACATGGTTTTCACAAACTTGTTTGAGCTGGTCGTAGAGGTTGGCAGACATTTTGTGGGAGCACATGTTTTCCACGGCTTGGTACAATTCCTCCAGACTTGACTGGATAGAGTGACTTGTGTGAATGGCCTCCACTGAATCCCGTAATTTCTCCCATGTTTGCTGCTGAAAGTTTTCTGGCAACTTTGGTTTTTCTGTAGAATAAATAGGAATGCAATGGATAACTACTGTCTTCTAGACATTGATATCTACAATGAGATCTAGACAATATCACTTCCTGTTTACATGAGCTGTCAGTCCTAAACTTACGGAAAATCATGAACAGAAGATTTTTCCTTAACTTCAACAATGCTCTTTGATTGATTTTTCCTCAACCCTTTCACCTCTAGGTAGCTTTAGTGGACTCTACCTTGCATTTATTGTGATGAGTCCATTGAGGTTTACCGTGGTGAAAGGATTAACTTCAACAATGCTCTTTGATGGAAAAGCTTGATTAAACTGGGGCCTGACACCTATGTGATTATTTTCAGCAGCTGATCAAATTAAAGGGAATGCAGGGGAGAATTGCTCCTTAACAGGAACTTAATCAAGGCCTCTATATTTCTACTTTCTCTGACTTGAATTTCTGAACACACTCATTAGCTTTTCCATCTATGACCGGAAACTTTGAACTGACAGACTATTTTTTCTGATTAAAAGGATAATAAAAACCTTGTACTGATGTTTTATGTAAAGTCACTAGTAGGTTTCTGTCTTTTGTAAGATACACATGTACATAGACATAAACTTACCTGATCATATGCTATAACAATATATTGCAATGTTAACCAATACTCTGAAATATTTAAAATAAACATAAAAATATTAAGCCTGGTAATATATGTTTCCTGTTTCTGTGTTTGTTTCCTTTTTGTATCTGTTTCCTTTTTGTATCAGATAATTCTTCCTAAGTTACTTGTAGAGCTTATATCAGCCAATGAGTTTACCTATTTTTATCATTAGAAAAAGTAAAAAAGGTCGTCAGTTTTCAACAAAATACGTTCTTGTTTTGTATTCTATTAAGATTAATCTGTGTTCAGTTATTTTCATGAAACATGATAATTCGGTGATTTTAAAGTCCAAACAATTATCACATATGATCTATTACACTGTGGATCCGATGACTTTTTTCGTGATCTCGTATAATACAACTTTATCACCACAAAGGTAGCCTATGACACTCCTATTTCCACATTTAATGTTTTTTCTTCAATAAAATTTCATACCATTGCATATTTCTAGCTGGTGATTTTTTCCCCCTTCCATAACCTATATGAGCACCTTTTCCCAAGTTAGCGTTATGAGTATTTTGTTGTGTCATGGACACTGTATGTCTCTGTTTCACAAGAAGATCATCGTTTAATCTTAAATGGATATAAAATTATTATATAATAAAGTGCAGGGAAATTTATGGAACCCATATTAGATTCATGAAATAGAAACTTACAATGAAAAGATACACAACTAGAAATATCTTACTTACTACCGTTCATTCTTTGAATAACATCAGGTTTCTATATATTAAATGTAATCTTAACGCTTTTAATCAAAATATTGTGTTGGCAATGGCTTATGTGAATGTCATTTGATAAAATATGCACAGTATTAACTTGGAACAACCCCTCATATGAGTAACAATCCTTCATAAGGGTAACAGTTAATGTTTTCTGTAATGATTTTATTACTGAAAGGATGAATAACGTGATATAAAGACACATTGGGTTCTTCTAAATACTAGGAACAATATGGCGTTCTTCTTTCAACATATTCCAACCTGTTGCACTGAAGAGTAATATAATCATCCATATTTTGGAGCTTTACACAAGAAGACCTACCTTTGAAATTCTTTATCACAAGTTTCTTTGCTGCCCCTGGCTTGCTATTTGCCAGTGGCGAAGCATGTCTGTTTAACCCATTGCTGGGACTCGATAACGCTGAGAAATTAGCTCGCTTTTGAGATTCTGTCATCGGTGCTTCATCCGAGTTTTGACGAACCCTTTTGTGATTTGGAGGAGAAAGATTTTCCCTGGATTTTCTTTTCCTGTAGTTCAATTCCTCATCAAACTTCTGCTGTTCTTGCAGATCTGGCTTATTAGCATTTGAGAGAGGCATGCATTACGCTTTAGGCCACAAAATGGCCCAAATGTGCGAGAAAACAGCACTTATTTGACACTGACAACTTCTGTTTTGTCTTTTTCTCCCAAAATGGCGGTGGTTCTCGTGTACACTCTCGTGACGAAGGGAGACTACTCTGATTTGTTTACAAAACTGAAACCACGTGTTTGGTTGTCATGATCTGTCATCGTGAACATTAAGTTAACATAAGCGTCTACTTTATCTCAATATTGATTATTTGATTCCATTTTCAATTGCAAGTTAGTACGTTTGTAAATAAATTTATTTTAATATTAGTTTGTATATATCTTACTTTTGAAACAGTACATGCATTACATGCTATATCTTTCAACAACAAAACCTCATTGATTACCAACGTTGTATATGTGGCTTCCCTATTGAAGACACACACCATTTCTTTTTTACCTGTGATATATATAACGAACAAAGAATTAAGCTTTATCGTGAACTGAATGAATACATGCCTCNCCCACCCCCTTGTCCCCTCTCTCTCTCAATTGAACCATAATAATGATGAGGATGTATGTATTATATTTACAGACTATTATCCCCCCTCTCTCTTCCCTCTCCCCCCTTTTCTCGTTTGTCTCTCTCTTATAATTTCAATTTATAAATTAAAGCATTTAAAAATGAAATAGTGTGTATATTTATATTAATTCTGCCATCTTGTTGTACTATTGTAAATATATATATGCTTGTAATTTGCTAGGAAAGGGCTTAATATAAGTTTGATAACTTGTGCCCAATCCATTTGCTTGGCAATAAAATATGTTTAAACTAAACAAAATAAGAAATTACAGAGCTTGGAATTGGATATACAACACATTTTTTGGTCTGTTTTTTTTCTTACTATAAAATTAAAAACTTCGATATTAAGTATGTCAATAAAACTATTTATTTTGATAATTTCCAAAGTAAATCAGTGAGCTTTAATGGACATTCCATGAACAGTAAGGAAATCACAGGCTAATATAATTCCTGTTGTATTCAGACTAAGATAATCCCGTTGTTGTATTCATTTTAACATAATTTCTTTTTCATATCACAGACTAAGATAATTCGTTGTTGTATTCAGACTAAGATAATTCCGTTGTTGGATCACGGACTAAGATAATTTCGTTGCTGTATTCATTTTAAGATAATTACGTTGTTGTATATTCAAACTAAGATTATCCTGTTGTTGTATTCATTTTAAGATAATTTCATTTTCATATCACAGACTACACACCCCTGCACAGACTGAGATAATTCCGATGTTGTTTTCAAACTTAGATATTTTGATGTTGTTATATTCAGACTAATATCATTCCGTTGTTGTATCACAGACTAAGATAATTTCATTTTCATATCACAGACTAAGATAATTCCGTTGTTGTATATTCAAACTAAGATAATCCCGTTGTTGTATTCAGACTATGATAATTCCGTTGTTGTATTCAGACTAAGATAATTCCATTTTCTTTCACAGACCAAGATAATTCCGTTGTTTTATCACCGACTAATATCATTCCGTTGTTGTATTCATACTAAGATAATATCGTTGTTTTATTACAGACGAAGATAATGTCGTTGTTGTATCACAGACTAAGATAATTCCATTTTCTTTGACAGACCAAGATAATTCCGTTGTTTTATCACAGACTAATATCGTTCCGTTATTGTATTCATACTAAGATAATATCGTTGTTTTATTACAGACTAAGATAATATCGTTGTTGTATCACAGACTAAGATAATTCCATTTTTTTTGACAGACCAAGATAATTCCGTTGTTTTATCACAGACTAATATCGTTCCGTTATTGTCTCACAGCCTAAGATAATTCCGTTGTTGTATCACAGACTAAGATAATTCCGTTGTTGTATCACAGACTAAGATAATTCCGTTGTTGTATTCAGACTAAGATAATTCCGGTGTTGTATCACAGACTTAGATAATTCCGTTGATGTATCACAGACTAAGATAATTCCGTTGTTGTATCACAGACTAAGATAATTCCGTTGTTGTATCACAGACTAAGATAATCCGGTTGTTGTATTCATTTTAAGATAATTCCGTTGTTGTATTCAGACTAATGTAATTGCGTTGTTGTATCAAGTTAGTTTCATAAAAGCTTATAATATACGCTAAGACATAGAATTTAATTATCTAAGTTCTAGGTGTATCGATGTAAGAATATTTATATCGCTTTGTTTCGTTTGGCAAGAATTTTCGTCTGTGATTTCTTTCTTTTGATGAAAGTTTAGCTAACATTTCTATCTTCAAACGTTTCTCGTGTAATATTGTCTGGTATTATGGAAACAGAAAAGAACAGAAATATAGAATTTAAAACTATATGCCAATGTATTCAGAATGTCCATCCGAGAACAAGAAATAGCACGACAAGATTTCAGTGAAGTTGCGTTAAATGTCATATATATTTTAATCCAAGTAAGATAATCTTTACAAACTTACTTGTGTCTGACGATGGGATGTTTATCGTCTTTGAACCGTCTCGTGAGCCGAATCCGGGTGGATAACACTTTTAAATATAAAATTATCTATCTTATGTAAAATTTTATTATCTTATTAGAATGAATATGCATTTATAGTTCATGTTTGTGAAATATGACACGAAAATAAACAATCGATTTATTTGTTTATTGTTTTAAACACTGAACCGTGCATGGTCTACATCTACGTATAGTTCAGGCAATCGGCAGAAATATGTTTGTCGTTTATCGTAATGCCAATCTAACATGTACACGCTAGCAATTGTTCAACTTCTATTCAATCCGAGAAAAACATATTCTGATAGGCGTTTGATTGCTTTATTTTGTATTTTCAAATTTCGGTAACAAATGACATCACTGACCTCATGGTCTAGGCCTGGGCCCGTATTCATGAAACCGTTCTCATGCTCAAGCATGGAATTTGTGCTCAAACCTAATTTCTTGTTCTGGTTATAACTCAATAAATAAATCTTATTTTGTCAATGATTTAGAAACAGTTTGAAGAGATTTGAAGCCAAATACTGTTTTCAATGTTTACATTTGACTTTTTGATCGTTTGACATGATCTAAGCTAGTTACAAGAAAGTTGGTCTGAGCACAGATTCCATGCTTGAGCATGAGAACGGTTTCAGGAATACGGGCCCAGATTGTTTTAGTATTTTTTGTACAACACTGGTAGTGTTGCATTCTAACTTGGTCAAATTCTTTATTTCAAGTACATCATACAAAAATTATATCAGTTTAACAAACAAACGACAAAATCACTTTAAGATATATATATATATATACAAAGTCCTTACCGTAACGCTGACGTAGTAACCGGACCCCTAAATTAAAAGTAACGTCAGCTTTTCAACAAGAATAGTGTAAATAAACAAGGGCCAAAATCATCAATCATATCTTATTTTATTTTGTTATTTGGCGACGACATTGAGTATGATTCAAACTTTGACGGACATATTTCTAACAATTTCAGTAAAACATCAAACCCATTTTTAGCGTGACTTAGCACCAACGACAGAACACAGATTAATATAAGTTTGATAAGCTTGTTTTCGCTTCCGTCTCTAAGCGTAAAGAATTGTCCGTAAAGTTACCAAGAAGACCACAATGATAATTGATTTGTTCACTACAGCCTTCTAGCATGGCACTTCTTCAACGTGAATAACACAATGAAGTATGGAAGAGAAGGCAGTGATGTTTACAATGATTTAACCAGTCATTTATACATTCTTTCACACAGAGGCAGTTATATAAAACCACAGGTGTTTTATTGTTTCTAATATAATTTATAATATTTATTTGTTCTTTGCTATCTCTGATCATGCTATGTTAACACGTATTCGGTCGATATTTGCTATTTCTGATCATGCTATGTTAACATGTATTCGGTCGATATTTGCTATCTCTGATCATACTATGTTAACACGTATTCGGTCGATATTTGCTATTTCTGATCATGCTATATGTTAACATGTATTCGGTCGATATTTGCTATCTCTGATCATGCTTTGTTAACACGTAATCGGTCGATATTTGCTATCTCTGATCATGCTATATGTTAACACGTATTCGGTCGATATTTGCTATGTCTGATCATGCTATGTTAACATGTATTCGGTCGATTTTTGCTATCTCTGATCATACTATGTTAACACGTATTCGGTCAATATTTGCTATTTCTGATCATGCTATGTTAACACGTATTCGGTCTATATTTGCTATTTCTGATCATGCTATATGTTAACATGTATTCGGTCGATATTTGCTATTTACTGGTTATATGTGTTGTATGAGATTATCTATGCATTTAATTTATTTAGCAACAATTATGAAACAAGTTTCTTGGTGACCCGGATGTTAGCGCGCGGGGGTCAAAATGTGGGAGGAGACCGGAGTACCCGGAGAAAATCCACGTGGTCGGCAGGTGACCCCATAACCTTTCACGTCCGATCTGGTAATCGAACCCCGGTCGTCTTGGTGAAAAGCAAATATATGCGCTATCAACTGCGCCACCCGACCACCTATATGAACTTATATCAATTAACACCTGGAACTTCGTGGATGATGTCATCACCGTTTTCGTGTCAGTTAAAGTGACAACTGTATGGAACGCTAAATTAACATATATTCGATTAATTGTACCTATCTTCAAATAATTGAAGATTGGCACAATTAATTGAAGACAAGTTCAATTCAATTGGAAAAAAGTTTCAAATCAATTGAAGATTATTTGCACCTATCTGACCTTCAACTTTTTGGAGATATATATATAGGTACAATTAATTGAATATATGTTATTTTGGAATTGCATATATCTATGGAACGCGAAATTAATATATATTCAAATAATTGAGGATTGGTGCAATTTAATTGAAGATAGGTTCAATTATTTGAATGCATGTTCATGTGGCGTTCCATACAACTGGGAAACTGCAATCTTGGCCCTGAATCGCCATGAGCCATACTTATGGACTTATACAAGGCATTTGACTGCCTCCCCCACAATCTGCTGCTCAAGAAGCTGGAAGCATATGGGTTAGACAGTCAGGCAGTGAGCCTGACGTCGAGCTACCTGAGCAGCAGGTGTCAGCAGGTGAAACTGGCTTCAAATTGCAGCACCTGGTCAGGTATTCTTAAAGGGGTTCCCCAGGGATCTATCCTGGGCCCCCTTCTTTTCAACATATTTATAAATGATATTTTTGATTGGGTTGAAGATTCATCTCTCTACAACTATGCAGATGATAACACTAAAGGTTACACCCATAAGGATCCTACTGTCTTAAAATCCATTTTAGAAAAAGATTGTACTCATGTTATTGATTGGTTTAATAAAAATGATTTGAAAGCCAATCCTGAAAAGTTTCAGGCAATCAGCATTGGAAAACGAACATTTGATAAAATAAAATCTTTTGATATTGGAGGTGTATCTCTCAATTGTGAAAACAATGTCAAATTACTAGGTGTAAATTTTGATTACTTATTGAACTTTGACTATCACATCTCAGAGCTCTGCAAAAAAACAACTCCAGACGAATATCTGTAATGAAAAGGATAGGTAATTTTTTGTCTAGGGAAGGGAGACAAATTATTTGCAACTCATTCCTTCTTTCAAGTTTTAATTATTGCCCTCTTGTTTGGCATTTCTGTTCGGTAAAAAGTGTACGGAAAATGGGGAAAAAATCAAGAAAGATCACTACGTTTTGTATATAGTGATTTTTCGTCTTCCTTTGAACCTTTAGTCCAAAAATCAAACTCTGATTTACTACATATAAGACGTTTGAGAGACATGGCGTGTGAAGTCTATTATATAGTTAAGAAAATCTCTCCACGCTTTATTCATGACATGATTGAAATAAAGGTAACTAATTATAATTGCAGACAAGAGATTACAGCTGTAATATCAAGGGTCAACACTACAAGGTATGGACTCCAATCTTTCTCCTACGAGGCCGCCCGGGTGTGGAACAGCTCAGAAAAGTAGATGTAGGTACAATGAATTTAGGAGACTGGTCCAGACCTGGGATGGCCCCATTTGCTCTTGTAGTGTCTGCCGCAGTGTGTAGTACATATACATGTGGCTAGTCTGCTTTGCTTCATGTTTAGTTAATTTTGTGTTTTATGCTGCTTCTTCAGTCGGATTTGTGCAAATGTTTGCTCTTATTATTATTTTATTCATTCGTTTTATTTTATTACTATGTTCCATTTGTTTTACATGTTGTGTTTTAGTTATAGTGCTGACAGTGGAAAATTGTCTTTCATATTGTCTGTTTTTATGTGTATGTGCGTTGCTTCAATGTTTTATGCTAATATGTATTTTATGGTAAAAATTACTATCCTGCTATATGTATGCATGTATATATATTTAGCTTATAACTTTGCATGGAGACTTAATGTTTTAACACTTTCTGTTAATGTTTCATAATGTTTTATATATGTAATTTCTTGAATCGATGCTTTTTATTTATGTTTGTCGGAATAATAGCTTTTAATAGCTAATGTTAAATGTTCTTAAATATCCGACGTTAAATAAATTTTATTGTATGGTATTGTATTGTATTAATTCTCTTTTCCTGGCTTGATAAAGGGACAGATCGCCGTGAATTTTTTACAAATTTCTTTGTCAGCACTGTCGTTATTACTTCTTTGCCCATATATGATCCATACTGTATAGGTATATATATGTAGACACTCTAATTTTACTTTTATTATGTTTTACAAGTGTATTTATTATAAGTTTGTAGCTATAGGTAATTGAGATCTCTATTTGACAAATCTGTAAGAATTTGACTGAATTAATCATTTTAGAGATGGTATCATGCGAGGCGAATGTGACTCTAGTGAGAGAACAACCAGGCCATAAACATTATATAGGCTATAATATAACAATCTAAAAATAGAAGTTATTATATCTATATTTAGCATGACAGCATGAACGGAAGTGACGCCACAACAGATATATTATGGGATACATGGATCTTTGTAAAGCTGACCTTATTGAACCCTTATATCAATCCGCTTTATTTTTTCGTTATATCATTCATAACTATGGATGTGCATACGCATATGAACTACCTTTAACTACACAACAACATCAGTATATTGCATCATTAAATAATCATACAGAAGATATTCGGTCTTGTGTTAGTTTCAATGATTTTTCTTCAGTACTATTTCTGGGCGCGAACGCACTGTGACATTAGTGTAATTCGGTCAATCTTGACACTGAAAAGAGACAAATCTACACGGTCAAGATATAAATTCCTTCCATTTCCGTGTAATTTGGACCAAGATGGAGAAAAATGCATTTAAGAGAATTCAGTATGAATTGACTTGTTTATAAACATTCACTTTGACTTGTATTTTGGAGGACAAATTTAAGTTATACTGAATATAATATTTGTCGTTTCATTTGCTTTGAACCTCCATTTACCTATCCACCATCCAAAATGAGTGGAATGCGAACTCAGCCCCGAAAGGACACAAAAATGCGGATCAGAGCATTTCCAGTAAGTACTGAAATAAATGTTTCATCTCCAGTCGAAGTATAGATTTATATGTCTATGTCTCAATCCCGAATCGTCGCACAGAAAAGTCGAAAATCCTTTCCGCTCAGTTGATTTGTAAACATTTCCTATATTTTCTTGTCACATGGATGCAGTCGATAATTGCTTTATATGCATTTCTTGTCAGTTATTTCAATGCGCATGTTGTAAATGACACTTAATATAAACTGATGTCATATCATTAAAAATTGGTTATGCTTTTAGTACTGTCACAGTTAATTTTGTATTATTGTTGTGCAGATGACAATGGATGAGAAATATGTCAACAACATATGGGCTCTACTGAAAAATGCCATTCAAGAAATTCAGAAGAAAAACAACAGTGGACTAAGTTTTGAAGAACTTTATCGAAACGCCTACACAATGGTGTTACACAAGCACGGTGAAAAACTATATACAGGACTGAAGGAAGTTGTGCACGATCACTTGGTTACAAAGGTATAAATCTAACTTGAAGTTGGGTTGTGAAATATGGCTAACATTTTGAATGTGGAATTACATGGGAATAGTCTAAATAAGAAGGACTTTTATCCTTCAGTTAATCAACTTTATTTTTGTTCATTAGCTATCGGAGTAACATACAGACAATTCATTTTGTTTTACGCTTCTATTAATCATTTTCAATTGGTGATATGAAATAGTTGTATGGTCCATCAATGTAGTATATCTGTTTATATGAGTGTCTGTCGTCTGACTGTAAAATCACTATTTCTTGACCCCCTAAAATTAATCAGTTCTTTGGTTCAGTTCCAGACTCTGAATTCTTGTACTAGATTCCAATGAACTTGATGAATGGTTAATATTATAGGTTCAGAATACCTAATAATACCAATGATTTTACAATTTTTCAATTTCAAAGTATTTTATTGACAATACATATATAATACAAACATATAAGTTAACATTAAAGGAGATATTTGAACAGTATTGACAAAAGAATAAGACAACAGGCTTTGCCTATATCAGTCTTCTTCTAATTCCGGTAGATATGTACAATGCTTAAATATATAAAATGTTGTGATTCGTTTCCTCTCACACTCATGCACACCCACACCCACACCAGCTTATGTCTAATACTCGTTATTTAAGGGATAAAACTTGCCTGAATAACAATAATTATAACAATACATGAATATTCATTTGGAAATTTATCTAGCACGTATAAGTAACGAAACGTTTTGATGATTTAATATAAGAGTCAACATGTATAAGAATAGTTTTATTTAATTGGTTGGATGCATTACTAATACCATATACTAAACAGTGCAGATTTAAATATCCTACTAGATTATAAATAGTGGTAATATGATGCCTAATATTAGAATACAGAGGACATTGAAAGAAAAAATGTATTAGATCTTCCCTCTGTACACCACATACACAGGAAGCATCATCAATCAGATGGTCTTGTAACTTATCACAGTTAAGATCACTTTTAAAATTTCTTAGCTGACATAAAATTATGTTAAGTTTCCTCGGAACACAGTTAATAAAAGTTTCTGAGACGGATGTATCAAAGGTTTTTTTAAGTTTCTTTTTAAAAGATGAAATTGAGATGGAGTCTCGTACAGTGCTATCAAGTGCATTCCATTTTACCATTGTAGAAGGGAAGAAGCTATTCATATAAGTAGTAGTTCTTGTCTGTGGTATATTAAAGAATCTGTTATTTCTGAAGGTATAGTTATTATTTACATTTAGAAATGGTTGAATGATATTATCGAGATAAGTTGGAGTGTAATTATTAAGAATCTTATACATTAATGTTAGTTTATGATTTTGTCTTCGTGTGTGTAATGTTTCAAGTTGTGTTTCAGTATACAGAATATGATGAGATGTACCTCGTCTGAGGCCAGTAATTAAACGCATAGCTTCTAGTTGAACTGATTCTAAAAGATCTGATTCCGATTTGGTACAATTATCCCATACTATATCAGAATATTCTAGCACAGGTCTTATATAAGAGACATATAATGTTTTTAATGTATTCCTATCAACTGTAGTTTTTAAAATTCTAAGAATACTTAGTCTAGAGTTCGCTTTCTTATAAATATTTGAAATGTGATCTGACCATGTCCCTTTACTGTTAAATGTTAGTCCTAAGTGAGTATGGTGTTCATGTTGTGCAATTGGAGTATTGTTAAATAGCAGTTGAGGATGATTGTTAATGTGTCTACGAGAGAAGTTAATAGCTACAGTCTTATTCGGATTGAATAGGATCTGCCATCGCTTTGACCATTCAGAGATTGAGTCAAGATCATCATTAAGCATGTTAGTAGGTGTTGTAAGGTCATTGTTATTATTTACTATTACATAGAGAGAGGTATCATCTGCAAAGAGTTTTATATGAGAAGTTACATTATTAGTAATATCATTAATAAAAAGAAGAAAGAGGAAGGGACCAAGGACAGATCCTTGAGGAACCCCTGCAGACATAGGTTTGGTACTAGATTTATAACCTTCAAAGATAACCCTTTGTTTTCTGTCAGATAAGTAAGCTTTAAACCAATTATATAATTTACCTTTAATACCATATGTTTTTAGTTTATATAATAGGCCCAAATGCCATACTCGATCAAATGCTTTACTTATGTCACAGAAAACAAAACGCAAATCTTTACCTTGGTCTAAATTGCCACTTATAGTATTATAGATATCAGCTAGTTGATTAGTAGTGGAGTCTTTGGGTTGAAATCCTGACTGATGTACACTTAACATATTGTGACTTGAAATATAATTAAACGTATATTTAAAAATATTTTTTTCTAACATTTTGATAAAAATAGATGTAATAGCAATAGGTCTATAATTATTGAGATCACTGATATCTCCTTTACCTTTATAGAGAGCAGTAACATTAGCCGTTTTTAGTACATCAGGTATTACTCCAATAGATAAAGTTCTATTAAATAATAGTTTGAGTGGGTATACTAAAGAAGCAGAAATGTTCTTTACAATCATAGGTAAAATACCATCAGGACCAGCTGGTTTGTTTTTATTAAAAATGTCAAATTGGTCAGTTATATCTTGTTCAGTAATGTTAATGTCAGAAAGTTCAAATGGACATAAGGGAGGTAAATCAGGTAGGTTAGTGTCAGTAATATCAGAGGCAATGGTGGTAAAGAAGTTATTTAGTGCCTCAGCTTTATCTTGTGGATGGATTAATATTTTATTGTTAGATTTTAGAGGATAAGAATTAGTGCTAGTGTTATTCATTTTTCCTATAGATTTTGCTATCTGCCACCATTTTCTTGGATGCACTGTTTTGTCGGCAAGACAATTTTGAAGTTTCTTAAAGTAATTTTCTTTGGATTGCCGAATAATTTGTATAGTGTCATTGCGACAAGTTCTAAATTTTGCCCAATCTTGTTCCCTATTTTTATTTTTAGCTCTTTTATGTAATCTATTCTTATATCTTAATTTATGCCGAATTTCACCAGTCATCCAAGGTTTATCATCAGGATGGACAGTAATTGTTTTGTGAGGTATATGAGAGTTAGTAGCAGAGTTTATTTTGTTTATAATAGTAGAATATAGTTCATTAATGCTAGTAGTGTTATTAACTATGGAATCCCAATCATTACTAAGTAGTTCATTATTAATAGCATCCCAATTAGCTTCATTGAACTTATATATAGGTTTCTTGAATGGTTTATTTTTTAGTGTCTTAAAACAAATGTTAGCAAGGATGGGGCAGTGATCACTACAGAGAGGGGAAAGTACATTTGTTGAGGTAAAAATGTTTACATTATTAGTAATAAATACATCAATTAAGGTAGCAGTAGTGTTTGTAATGCGTGTTGGTGATTGTATTAAGTTTTTTAAGTGATATTTAGTAATTAATCTTGCAAGATGTGAATTAGGTTTCATTGTGATAAAGTCAATATTTATGTCACCAGTGATAATGATATTAAGATTAGTATTAGAAAGATTATCTAAAATGTTATCAAGTTTATTCCAGTAATCTACTTTTGTATTAGGAGGTCTATAAAGACAGCAGAGAAGTATTTTTTTGTTAGAAGTGTTAATTTCTAGGATGACAAGTTCTATGTCTTCAGTTTCAAGATCAGTTCTGTGATTTATTAAGAGGTTGTTTTTAGTATATATCATAATACCACCACCGTGTTGTGATTGTCTGTCTCTACGATATGAGTTGGGATGTGAGTTAATTTGCAAATCAGATTCAGTTATTTCATTATTCAGGTGAGTTTCAGTAAGACATAGGATGTCATAGTCAGTGAATTCAGTATCTATAAGATCAACCTTGTTCCGAAGAGACCTAACATTTAAGTGCATTATTGATAAATCATTATAGTAGTTTCTTTGATTAATACTGATTGATGAGCGACCTGGATTAGAGTGAATATTTCCAGACATCAGAAGTAGAAGTTTTATAACAAACAGAATGTATAAAATATCTTGAGTATACATGTAGTGATATCATATTGGTATTACAGGCAGTAATAGAGGAAGAACTATAGTATAGCTTACAATCACACACAAACATACTTACAAACTACTAACACGCCAAAAAATGAAAAAAAAAAAAAAAAAAAAAAAAAAAATAACAATAAATAAATAAGCAGAGACTTGAGGAAAGAAATAACAGTAGGGACTAATGAAAAATAATATTCTCAGAATGTGGAAAGCATCAATTTGATATTTTAAATATAATTTCATAGGGAGTGGTATACTGAACTTGAGTATTATCAAAACAATTAACAACAGTAGTTTCTTGAATTCAGTGTAACATGTTCAACTACAAGTGTAAAAAAATCAATTGAAGCAGATAAACAAATTAATTATTTTAAATACATATATACAAATATTTATATACAGACAGAACATGAAATCAATCATTTGAGACAATCATGTTATATTTTAAGATTTATTCATATACTAGTAACCTAAAGTTACATGTATAAGAAGAAAAATAATGAATAGTTACAGATTATCAGTGGTGTAAGGGAGATAACCTATTCAGAGAGGTAATCTATACATATACAAATAATGCTATTAGTGAGCAAAAGTTGGCTGAATTTCAAGAAATAAAGCAAATATTATAAGTATACGGTAGGTTCTATTATCACAATTAAGACGAAAAGATTTATTTTTAAATATAAGTATCCAATGACAAATATAACATGGAGTTAGATACCTTATGAAAACCCGAGAAAAAAAACAAGAAGATTTATCAAGAGCAGACACAACAATCATAACAAATAGCACATAAACATGAAAACGAATCAATAATTAAGTATATAATAAATAAAAATAAAAAATGAACACAAGCAAGACACAAAAAGTTAAGCAATTAGAGAAGCACAAGCAAATTGAAATATTGGTTGCTAATAATATGTATATATATAGTTTACCATACATGCATGTATATACATAAAGCAAAATAGTTAAGTGGCTTGCTTGCTAGTTATTAGTCAAGCATAAAGATTATTCAAAGGCAATTACATGTAATGATACCAGACACGATTACTTAAATTAAGTATGCAAAATAAAAGATTGATTACTAATGTTACAAATATTATATAATATATTACATGGATTAGGTTTCAAACCATAGTTAATGGCAAGTTATCGAGCTTACTTATTTTGGTAAGGGATTTACAGCAGTAGCTGAGCTATTGTAATTATAGATAGATAATGTGTTTAAGTTGAATAAATATAGGGAAAGAAAATGAGCAACAAGATTCAACAAGGCAAATTTGAAAAACAAAACAAAATAAGCACATGAACATGTAAAATGTAAGAATTCATGCATAACGTAAATAATCAAGCAAAACTAGCCAAGCAAAATGAGATATTGGGCACTCATAATATATTTGTATAGTATAAATAGATCAAATCTATTGTAGCTATAGGTAAATATAAGTGAATTAATTCATAATAGAATAAGCATTACAGGAATATTTTCAATAAATAAAATTTCACATAGAGTTTAAAGCAATGAAAATGTAAGTTCTTTTGTAGGCAACAAGCATCATCAACAACAACTCGGTATACTTACTGCAACAATAAATGGCTCCATTGCTTACATGTTCCTATGAAAATATAGAATAATTGTTGTTATAATTCAGGATCAAGCAGGGGATAAATATGTGAAAGTACATGTACAGGTAGCTATATGTTGGAAGATTATATCAGATGATCAAATTAACAGATTAAGCAGTTCAAACTAGACATGGTATATACAAATACATGAGTCACCATGATATAAATTCACAGTTGTACTGGTACACGAGCAGTGATATAGTGAATCATGATTATAAATCAATTATAGAATTGGAATGCACAATAATTTATGCACATATACGATCAACAAGACTGTCACTTGGTCTGTACTGGTGTTGAAGTCATAGAGGGACTCAATGGTGCAAAGCTAGCAGCACTAGCATTGAGTCTATGAACCCGGTCACCAGAGCGAGTACCAGTGTATACTGATGGCAGCATAGTACCAGTTACATTTACTTTGAGCTTCAAGAATTTCTCAAGTTCATTGTCGTGAGCCACCTGAACAATGTTCTCCTGCAAAGTTTTGACCATTATCCTGCCATCATAGGTCCAGCAGCTGAGTATTTTGTGATCTTTTACAAGGTCCCTTGTTTTCTTGAACAATGCTGCTCTTTGTTTTGTCAGAGCTTCATTAATGAAGACTCTACACCTGTTGTTTTTCTGAGAAGAGTTATATAATTTCAGATTTTTTTTATTTCTGAACACAACAGCTCTGTCCCTGTAGCTGACAAAACGCACTATGATATCTCTGGGCATTGGAAGCTGGTTTTGGGTGGGATATAACACACGACGGTTAACTCTATGGGTCCTGCCAATCTGGTGAAGTTCAACCGTTTGACCAACAGGTTGAAGAACATGCTTGTTAATAACGTTGAGAATTAACTTGTCAGTGTCTTCTCCTTGCTGCTCTGGGATGCCAGAGAATTTGAGGCAAGTCCTTCTAGAGTATTGCTCCATGTCATCAATACGGTCAGTAAGAAGGGAGATCTGATTTTGCATAGCTTCAATCATGGGAAATAATGATTCTGTTATAGCAGTCTTGAATACATCATGACCAAGTATCATGTCAACAGCACGTCTTGTTGTTGTTTCATCATCAGATATGCTCTTAAGTAGAATATCAAGATCATTGAGAACTAGATCATCTTCGTCTCTACAATGACGTTTCGTAGGGTTGGACTCGTCACTGGTTGACTGTGATTGAGTATTACGGTTATTTTTCTTACCCATTATTAGTTATTAAGGACTAGCAATCTCCAATGATTATGATATAGGTATCAGCACACTTACTATGATAAGGTAGACAGCGCTAAAGTTCTGTTGATGCTTGCACAGCTGATTGACAGGATCGATCAATATGGCCGACATACATGCAAACACATCTCAGTCAGTCAGATACTGCACATATCATACATTAATATGTTACACAATTTTGAGAAGAAGGTACATCAGCTCAGATACACACACTCCTTCGTTAGATGTTTGGAATTCCGTCCCACATTCTGAGAATATGTAAAATCAGTAGCAACGTTTGAATCGACCGCTCATCGCCATACCGGAACCGGAAACAGACCCTGATTTTACAACTGTTTTACTGACACCAGCTAGTATACTCTGCATTTAGATCTGTTACTCTCATATAAGTCCAACAATGTGCTGTATTATTTTGAAATTTTGATTCATACCTAACAGTTTTTACAGGTTTTGAATGTTGGTTTTGTAGGTACGAGAAGATATACTGTCAGCTTTAAACAACAATTTCCTCCAGATCCTGAATAGTGCATGGAATGACCACCAGACCTCCATGGTGATGATCAGGGACATACTCATGTACATGGTAAGCGAGGGATTTCTTCGTGTTGTGAAATTTTCACCCCTCTATCATGTATTAAAATAGAAATTGGAAGTGTAGAAAACCTCTTCTCCTGTTAACATATCGTTACTGCCAGCAACACACAGTACTGATAATTATATATTGGTTTAAAATAATATGTAAAAAGTCGGGTTTAACAGAACTTTTTTGTAAGTCTTGTAGTATCTATACAATGATTTTTTTGCTCAATTTTACAGTTTCCCCTAGCTAAAAAGTGCCGTATTTTCCCAAAATGACAAACAAAAAAATAAAAATATGTTCCGAATTTCCATAAAAAATAATGCTATATTTTCCTAATTCATAAAGAAACAGGCTGTTGTAAAATTTGGGTAACAAAAACACTGCTATATCATTGACAATTATCATAGAAAATAAGGTTAAATATAGATCTGTATAGTAAACAACATTTTTAGAAGACAGAAACGTTGCTCCAAAGGCGAAAATTGCCTGTAAAAAGAAGTAGACATATGTTGCCTGTATGGATCTCTGATGTGTAATATGAATTACTTTTGGTTTCTTTCAGGACCGGGTTTATGTCCAGCAGAACAACGTAGACAATGTGTACAACCTGGGGTTGATGATCTACAGAGACCATGTAGTACGTCACCCAACTATACGAGATCACTTAAAAATGACGCTTCTAGAAATGGTGGCCAAGGAGAGAAGGGGAGAAGTGGTAGACAGGTATATTTTAATAAGGCAGATTTGGAGGGTTTGTTTTGCTGTGAATATATAAGAGACTTTGAGAAGAGCATTATAAGACTATATTCACTAGACCCTGGAGAGAACACTGAACATAGGTTAACTCAAAGACTTGAATCAAGTGTATGTTTAAGAAAAGCATATGATTTAAATTGTATGGTTAAAACTGTACATATTCAAATAAATATGTATATATGAATGCATTTGAGTTGCTCATAGTAATTTGTTCCTACTAGCTGCAAAAAAGAAGTTTTTAAATAATCTAGAGATTAGAGACCTGCCCGAGGTTTAAGTTCAATTATACAGTGTTTATCTTAATATCAAAAGAGGTTTTGACATTGATACTCAGATTAATAAGGTCCAGCTGTACGTTAAATTAGCAAATGCATCGTGATAATAACAAGATGTTATCATTGCAGGGGTGCTGTGAAGAATGCATGTCAGATGTTGATGGTCCTTGGTATAGACTCGCGAACAGTCTACGAGGAAGATTTTGAACGACCTTTCCTGGAACAATCTGCTGAATTTTACAGGGTACGACATACTTTCCAAATTGTCCTGATTTTTCGTCCTCAATTCAAACATGTTATCAAAAGCAAGTTCCAGTTTTTGAAATAATTGAAATAAAATAAAAAACTAAATAAATCATTTATACCCCTTCTTCAACGAAAGGGGGTATATATAGTATTTGCTTCGTCCATACATCTGTCTGTGCTGCTTGTTGTTTCCTGAGCATATCTTCGCCACTGTTTATTGAATTGGCATACACTTTTCATATAGGACAAGATACATCATATGAAAGCCATGTGTCACATCCAACATCCAGGTCACTGTGACCTTAAGTGCTGAAATAATAGTTTCCTGAGCATTCTTAAGGAATGGGAATCAAACTTTGTACATGGGTACATAATGGGAAGGTGATTTGTCGCATCCTAAAATAAAGTCATTTAATTTGACCTTTGACCTCCACCATAACTCCTAAAATCAGTGTAATACAAGTTTCCACAAAATGTATTAGTCTGCTTCATAAATGAGCTTCAGACACTAGATATCCAGGAAGTGGGGGTATCTGTGAAAACCATGCTTCAAGTTAATCTAGTTGGGGAAGAATATCTTTTTCTGATTAATCAGACAGATTAAAGCATTTAGAATTATTTTTTTAGAACTGAAAATACCTAAAATAGGGACATAAAACCCTGACTGAATGTATAAATACGTAGAAAATCTGTGTTGGTCATAGTTTACATACAAAGAAGATTATGTCAGTTACTGAACATTTTCTGTATTCGCTATTGCTCTGAAAATATGGGCTGGTCTCTTTTTCCAAAATTTGTGTTCGGGCTGGTTCCTTTTTATATCAAATCACATCCAGGCAAAGTCTGATAATTCCTGAATAAAACATTATTTTGTTTTTGATTTTTCAGTCTGAAAGTCAGAAATTTCTTGCTGAAAACAGTGCCTCTGTGTACATCAAGAAAGTAGAAGCACGAATCAATGAAGAGGCCGAGAGAGCAACACATTACCTGGACAAAACCACAGAGGAACCTATTGTGAAGGTAACAACTACTCATATTGGAATGTATTGATTGGGAAAATAAAAAATCCTCAATAATATTTTCTGTTGTAAAACCATCTATTTTAAGACGGATTCATGAACTTTTCCAGATTGTTGTTTATGTCTATCGATCTGTAATGTAATTGTAATTGTGATTATCGGGATGGCAGTATTGACAAAACCTGATGAAAGTGTTGTTTAAACTTTCCTATATCTTTAAACAGGCACATCAAAAAGTGTTGTTTAAACTTTCTTATATCTATAAACAGGCACATCAAAAAGTGTTGTTTAAACTTTCATATATCTATAAACAGGCACATCAAAAACTGTTGTTTAAACTTTCATATATCTATAAACAGGCACATCAAGAAGTAATTGGTGGCCAGAGAGGTGTAACCCAGACAGTTAGCTTTATCAGGTCAATTTTAAAAAAGGATAAAATATTTTTATTTTAGCAAATATTGTCAGAAATTAGTGAATACTGTATGCATATTGGAAAAATATCTTACATGTTTATCAAATACAACATACAAACAATTGTATACACATTCAACAATTTGTTTTTGACAGGTTTTAGAAGAAGAGCTGATCAGTAAACACATGAAGACAATAGTTGAGGTTTGTACGAAACAATTACACGATAGACAGTTAATTTGAAGTTGAGTTTTGAGTATGAAATGAAACAACATCCTCTTAGGACTTTTGATCCTTGCATTTGTGTGGAACTCAACTTAGTTCTCTTATTCGACATCTGTCCTCTTCTATTAACAAAAAATAAATTCAAAAATAACTTATATAACTTTATTTTTGTGGTATTACAACAGAAAGACTGACCATTGGTCATTTACTTTTGATAATAACATGCAACCCAAACTATCTCAACATTGAAAAGTCTGGCACAGTCTCCGTGACATAGAGAACTGCTCCAACTTATTCTCTTCTTAATTTATACCAATGACCATCCTGAACACATGAAATGAGTCGAATACACCTTGGCTCGTTGTAGAAGACAACATTATCTAAAAAACAGTATAACTTCTATAGAGGACAAACTAACTGACAATCAGGTATGGATGAAGTAACAAAATGGGCAAATGACTGGCTAATGAAGTTTCATGGATGGTCTTTAAAATCAAGCATCCATTAAATTTGAGAATGATGGTAGCCTTTAATACATTAATATTTTTGAATATGTTTTTTAATAGACATATTTGAACAAAGATGTTTGGTGATTACTAGGCAAGAAAGTATTCTTGCCTAGTAATAATAATTATTGGTTCTTAAACGAATAGCCTTTAACTTCAGAAATGTATTTAAGAATATTTTTGTTGTACTAGACTTGACAGTTATATTGATAATGAATATTGAATATTTCCAGATGGAGAATTCCGGAGTAGTTAACATGCTAAAGAATAACAAAACAGACGGTAAGGATACTGTTGATAATGCAGTCCTAAAAAAAATGTGTATGGCTCAACTCATATAAAAATTCAGTGCCACCAGTAATGTCTGTTAATTCTGGTAGGTCTTTCATATGGGTCAATGTTTGTCTTGGTTGCAAAAATAATAGATTTTAGATTTTTCTTAAATTTGATAGTGATGGAAAGTATTAATTCAATACAAATGACTTATGAAATATCTTGTATAAAAAGCAAGCTTTAAAAGAAAATCAATGCGCTCTGTTGTCATAGCAAGTAGAAGATCAGTTTAGGCGAGTACTTATTTCCATAAATATGCTTAAATCTTTCTGATCATATCAGGATTGTGATGTCTATATTGATCATGTAAGATCAAGCGGCCATATTTTGTTTTGGAGTCAATGCTATAGTTTTTCTTAAGCAGAGTTGAACTTACTCATCTTTACTGGCTTTAAAGAATTTTGTCCAAATCTGTTAAAAATCACTTTCTTTTTGCTTGAGGTGCCAGGTTTCTGCTTCATTTGTTTCTATACTCTTGTGTTATGTTGTTGTAGACTTGGCATGCATGTACAAGCTGTTCATCCGTGTGCCGGAGGGCCTCAAGACGATGTGTGACTGTATCAGTGTATATCTGCGCGAACAAGGCAAGGCCATTGTCTCCGAGGAGGGAGAGGACGGCAAAAACGCCATCACTTATATACAGGTAAACCTTTACAACGTGTCTCAAAACTGTATGGATGAACCCTGAGGAGTATATTAATCTAGATCCTTGTGACCTATATTTCCTGCTATATATTAATGTAGATCCTTGTGACCTATATTTACTGCTATATAGTAATGTAGGTCCTTGTGACCTATATTTACTGCTATATATTAATGTAGATCCTTGTGACCTATATTTTCTGCTATATATTAATGTAGATCCTTGTGACCTATATTTTCTGCTTCACTGACTTAGGATAGGCTTTGATGTTTAGCTATTTCTCAAATAAAAGTCCGATATTTTGAAAATTCATTTATGCATTCATCTTGACGAGTACTATTACAAAATATCAAATGTAGATTACTGTCACCAATATTTTCCACTTAACTGACTCTGGTTAGACCTTGTATTTAGCTACATTGGTTTTATACTAGAAATCCAATATTCATCAAAACTTTATATATATGGAAACACAGGGTTGCCAACCTCTTAGGAGTCCAGNTTACAAATGTATCAAACAAATCCTGGCTTTCTCTGACTACTATAACATCTGCATTGTTGATATTTTCACTTCAAGATCTTTGTAGGAAAATAAAACAAAATATTTTTTGCAGATATATAAAAGATTTTTATTTATTACACAAAAAAAACTGACATCAGAAATGCAACACATTATATAATCAAAGGCCTTTCTTGTAACGATTCCACCCTTGCCTAGAACAGGTACCAGTCTTTTTTCTGTATTTCCATGACCTGTTTAAAAAACAGTTCATATCAAAAGTAAGGACTTTACCATAGTAACATGAAAAAGTTCATAACATGAAAATATGATAATTTGACAGTGGAAAAATATTTTACAAGTACTTCTGGCTACTATTCTAAGCAACAAATAACAGTAAGACCCTTAGCATTTATACCACGTTTGCAATCCGATCACGTTATTTTTTCATCGCATCAGATTAAAATTGTTTATTACTACAAGTCTCATGTGTGTTAAATCATATACGCCACTTTACTGCAAAAAATAACTTCGAACTTTTCATCAGCCATCAGCGGCTGTCTGTTCGTGATTCAAGAATCGTTCCTAATACACGACGATATTATTAGTAAAACTTTCTTTTTCTGTGTGATAGGTACGTTCAATATTAAGTTTACGAGAGAAAACAACTTGATTGATTGATTGATAGGTTTTATGTCCACTTTACTACCGAGTAGTTCGGTTATCCAGCAGACGATTGTGAAAACAACTTACTCACCTTACAATATATTTACATTCGTTTCAACCGGATGTAAAGCGACACCTCGCGTCAGCTCACTTCCAAAGCACAACGTTGCAATAAGAGTTATTCCCCTTTGTACGACCCAAGCAAAAAATTGCCGATTTATGGCTTCGCGTGGGATAGAGGGAGAATATTTTCGAATGCGTGAGATTTATACCTCACGTGGCGTGAGGATTGTTTCAGCGTGAGTAAGGACGCTTTTGCGTGAGTTTTTGTCTCACGCCGTGGGAGTTGGCAACCCTGGAAACATCTTGTGGCATACTGCAACCATAAATCAAGTACAGCTCACTGTGACCAATATTTTCCACTTCATTAATTTTGTTTGGGCTTTGTGTCAAGCTCCATTTTAACAAAGAAGTTATGTACAAAAAAGGCTTGTACTCTAAAACATGTCATCAATAGGTGGAGTTTGTTGTAATCAGTTTTCTCAAAAGTAGAATCGGTGTACAGCCCACTTAGATAAAATAAAGTGATACATACCACTTAAATAAAGTATTTGATAGGAAATTGTCATCAGTGTGGTCCTGTCTGGGATATTACCGGCTGCATAGTTAACAATATTGGATTTTTAGCATTTAATTGAAATGTTTTGATTTTGTTTCAGAGTCTCCTTGATCTGAAGGACAGATTCGACCACTTTCTACATGAGTCGTACAGTAGCGACAAACAGTTTAAGCAGATGATCTCCAAGGATTTCGAGTTCTTCATAAATATCAACCACAAGTCCCCCGAATACCTGTCACTATTTATTGACGACAAACTTAAGAAGGGTGTTAAAGGGGTAGGTGTGGTTATGGAAACTGTAGAGTTGTACATAGGTCTGAGATCATACGGTTCAGTAAACCTCGTTGTAATGGCATCTTTTGTCATCGTAACGTAGGCATTATAAAGAGAAATTCTGATGTAACAAGATAAATGTATAAAAGAAATATTAAGAAAAAAATAATAAAGTATCTTGAAATGTGTTGGCGATAAGCGGCAAATGAAACAAGAGGCATTATATTGTTGTTTCACTAGACCTTTGAACATTGTTTGAACAATAAGATCTGACAAGTGTGAAACGATTTTGTGAAGGTTTAGATGTAGCTGTACATGTAAGATAGATATAATTGTAATGACTTAGGAATTATTTTTGCAGATGACAGAGCAAGAAATTGAGATGGTTTTAGACAAAAGCATGGTTCTATTCCGGTTCCTTCAAGAAAAAGATGTATTTGAAAGATACTACAAGCAGCATTTAGCAAGGAGATTACTACTTAGTAAGAGTGGATCAGATGATTCGGAGAAAAACATGATTTCCAAGTTGAAGGTAAAACATTCTTCATTCCTTGATAAGTCTGTGAAAAGGTTGTAAATCTATACTAAGACGCCTACCAGTACTTACAAAATGTAATGTATCAATTCAGTGTTTTTAATAGTAATTTGTTAAAAATTGAATCTACATATAAGTTTTAAAGAAACTTGCTTGAATTATACCTATCTGAAGATCAGCAGAAGGAAATAGGACAGGAATGTAATGTGTGATATCTTTTGGTTTCTGTGTTGATTTTTACTAGATTTTCAATAATGATCTGAATGATCTAAGCATCTGTCTAAATGCTGATGATGTTGGGAAAGTAGAATTTTATTAAAAGTTATTGATTAAGGTATAATGTTTTTAAAGATATTAACATCTCCCCCTTCTTCAGCTTAGTAAACTCTCTGACTGCATGTAAATTAGTGTGTACGCAGTGAAAAAGGCTTGGCGGATTGAAACCTGTTTCAAATAACGCACACCACAGAATATGTTGTGTGGCTACCGTATATGCCGTCAAATTTTTTGACTCAAAATGAAGGTAAATCCTTTACTATAGAGATAACAGCAATCCGATTTTGTTACAGACGGAGTGTGGATGCCAGTTCACATCCAAGCTGGAGGGAATGTTCAAAGACATGACTGTATCCAACACCATCATGGAGGAGTTCAAAGGTTTCCTTACCCGTGGAGAGGTACAGCCACACATTGGTTACATCTACATCTCAATATCTCCTCAATGACATACTACTCACTGCCTGGATCTCGGGCATTTTGCATCGGTGACAGAAAAAACACACAGGTTGCAAGATTAGACCCCAATTTCACAAACTTTCTCTATCTTCAGGATAATTCCTAGGGTTGAGGTTTTTTTCCATTGGAAAGCATTATTGGAGATTGTTTCTTATTTTCAGAAATGCCTTTTTATGGAAAATCTCGAGTTAAGGAACTCTCTTACAACTGTAGGGCAAGAGCATTTTGATTTGTTCCGCCAATAAAATAGTAATACCATTACAAGAAAAGTTAAAAGTTGGACATTTCACTGCGTGAGATTGGTGTTAATTGCTTAATACACATCAACTTATTGTAAATATAAAGAAGATAACATTCACACACGGTTTGTTTCCCCAGGTTAATTTGAATGGAGTAGACCTAGTGGTGAAGGTTCTGACGACAGGTTTTTGGCCTACACAGTCGGCCACCAGATGTGTCATACCCAAAGCTCCAAGCAAGGCCTTTGAGGACTTCCGGAGGTAAGTGTCAGATGTTGTATATTATCATTATTATCTATTTCTTTGATTGTTCTCGTTTCTAGCTATTGTTGTTACTTGGTCCTGTGTATGAATATGGGCCAACTGTGATTGTGTATTTAACATAAGTTTTTTGTAACAATTTGCTGCGTTATAATACTGTTCCCAGATTTTAATAACAATTTGCTGTGTTACTGTCCCCAGATTTTAATAACAATTTGCTGGGTTACTGTCCCCAGATTTTAATAACAATTTGCTGGGTTACTGTCCCCAGATTTTACCTTGCAAAACACAGTGGTCGCCAGCTGACGCTACAGCCCCAGTTGGGATCTGCTGATCTCAATGCCACGTTTTATGGCCCCAAGAAGGATGATGCTGGACAGTCATCAGGGGCAAGCTCCAACTCCAAAGGACCCCGCAAACACATCATACAGGTGTCTACGTACCAGATGTGTGTGCTCATGCTCTTCAACAACAGGGACAAGTGTACATATGAGGTAAGATAATTGATCAAATTAAGGGCACTTTTGTAAAACATTTTATTTTTCACAGAGTTTTTATTTGTGCTATACAAGCAGTTTTGAAATATCTACAAATGTTAACCACACAAATTTGTTTCTATTTTATATTCAGTTTATTAGGACTCTAACTGTTAATGGTATTGTTTTAATTTGAAACCTTGCATTTGTTCAAAGATCAAAACTAAGAACGTTTTTCTTTTGAACTTTTAAATGCTATGCAGTGTGAAGATTTATGTTTAGAAAACTGTTATTTATTGTCAGATGAAATGGAAATATAAATTGGTAGATGCATTGCAGGCTTAATTTAATATATTTGTATGCACTTGCAAATTATGCATTTATTTATTTAAAAGATTCAATGAATTATGAGAATTTATTGAGAACTGAGAATTCATTGCTTTTCACAATCTAGAAGTACTGAAAAATACTATGACTGATCTTGGTCTGTGTCCTGTGTGACTTATAGGAGGTGAAAAGTGAGACAGACATCCCAGAGCGGGATCTGATGAGAGCTATGCAGTCTCTGGCTGTAGGAAAGTTAGGCCAGAGGGTCCTACAGAAGGAACCAAAGACAAAGGACATAGGTAAGGCACTGATGCACAGTACTGGTTTGGTGCAGTAAACTTGATCCCTCTGTAATACCCTAATAACTTAATGTTGGACAGTGGTCACTATCACCAGGAGGCAAGCACACCAACATACCCTGTCTCCTGCATACACACATGCAAGCACGCATACACTACACACATGGAGACACGCCTTTAAATGATCCTAGCTGTTAATAGGGTGTTGAACAAAATTCAACAAAACTAAACCAAACCAATACCCTAATACCTTACTGATGGACAGTGGTCTGTTTATACTTCACACATGTAATCAGCCCCCTTACTGATGGACAGTGGTCTGTTCATACTTCAAACATGTAATCAGCCCCCTTACTGATGGACAGTGGTCTGTTTATGCTTCACACATGTAATCAGCCCCCTTACTGATGGATAGTGGTCTGTTTATACTTCACATATGTAATCAGCCCCCTTACTGATGGACAGTTGTCTGTTTATACTTCACACATGTAATCAGCCCCCTTACAGATGGACAGTGGTCTGTTTATACTTCACACATGTAATCAGCACCCTTACTGATGGACAGTGGTCTGTTTATACTTCACATATGTGATCAGCCCCCTTACTGATGGACAGTGGTCTGTTTATACTTCACACATGAAATCAGCCCCCTTACTGATGGACAGTGGTCTGTTTATGCTTTGCACATACTTACTTTACAGCAGATGTACTGTAAATAACTCAAATATGTTGTTGTAAATATAGTTCTTGACAATGAATAATTTCCTAGAAGTTTTAATCAAGAAATCACAAATCCCTTAGATGTAAATTACATTTTCCATAAGGAAATGAAAAAACTAAGTGTTTACACAATTTTTGTTTACACAACTTTTTGTTCAGTAAACTAAATCATTTCCGTTATAATTTTAATATAAAGTTTTCAAATTGGAATTTAATTTAATTTTCAGAACCTCACCATGTATTTATGGTGAACGACCACTTCACATCCAAGCTGTGTAGGGTCAAAATTCAAACAGGTAAAGTTGACTAATATTTTATCCCCCTCTTGTACAATAGCTACATAACAAAATATATTGACCATTTTGATGTGATTGTTATTGTGACATACCAATGAAGACTGTGATTGAGTCACATCTTGTTATCAAATGAAACTAAACTATAGCAGTGAATCTGACGTAAAACAGCATTCTGTTTCATAACTTTTAGGCATGAGTGTTTTGAGACATAGAATTGGGACCATATGTCGTGAATTCCGAATTCTAAGTCAGAACGTCAACAAACATCGGAATAATGCAGATTATTATAGACTGTTATTTGTAGCTCACCTTGCCGAAGAAAATTATTTTCAACTTCTTGTGTAGTTCAGATAATGAAAACAACAGGTTAGTGATACAGGCCTAACAAACCTCTTGCTTTCCTTTGGTCAGTATTTCAATTTTTGGCGGCCCTTTTTTTCAGTGACAGCAAGTAAGGGCGAGGCAGAACCAGAACGCAAAGAAACCCGGACAAAGGTCGATGAAGACCGAAAACATGAATATCCTTTTATTAAAATTTACATGAAACACTTGCTTATAAGTTCTAGGTCCGTGTCATATTTATGCTTTCAAACACCCTTATGGAATTTTACATACATTTTTGTTCTCTATAAACTAGCTTAAATGTTTAAAAACATTATACACTAGTTGTGGTGAGGGATAATAAATCGGATTTATCTTTCCCTTACATAACACTTATATTTAATAATAGTGACAAAGAGGGGAGGGCTTAAAAAACAGGGCATTTAATTCCTTAAATGAAATTAGCAGAAGTCAGCACTGTTTAGGCATTTACTTTAGTGCAGAGGTGATACCTCCTCTTAAATTTTCTGTGAAGTAATGTACAAATTTATTAGTACATGTATCAGAGTTTGTGAGAATATAAAGAGAATTGTGAAATATCTGCATTAATGTTTGGGTTAAATGTTTATCCATGACTGCTTGGTCACGATTGATTGTACACATTTATTAGTACATGTATCGGAGTTTGTGGGAATATAAAGAGAATTGTGAAATATCTGCATTGAAGTAGGACTTGATGTTTGGGTGGAATGTTTTTCCTTGACTGCTTGGTCACGATTGAGGCAGCCATTGTGAGAATTATGAAGGCAAGGAAGAAGCTGCAGCACAATGTTTTAGTTGCAGAGGTGAGTAACCAAGCAATAACCTGAGAGAATCAAAGGCTCGACAAATTTAATGATAATGAGGTGGGGGTGGGAATATTCTCAATTAGTTACTTCTGTTAGGCATTAACTCATTCACCCCTGAAGACACATTTAAACTCTTCCAATTCACAGGTTGGAATAGTTCATTATGAAATTTCAGGGGTGAATGAGTTAATCAATTAGCAAGGAAATATTTGATTTTGTTGTATGATACAAAATTTGGTTAAAGAGTCATGAAAAATGTCCAGGAAAACTCACTGTTAGTTTAGTGAAGAGAGATTTTGTCTATTTTATACTTGTTCATTGCTACAGGTTACTGAACAACTCAAAGTGCGATTCCTGCCCAGTCCTGTGGTAATCAAGAAGAGGATAGAAGGCCTAATAGAACGGGAATACCTAGCTCGTACACCAGATGACAGGTATCGCAAACTAATTCATGTGTTCTAAAAATCCATTTCAATAGAAAGAAACCTGACAGTTAAGATTAAATATCAACGTTGTTTACACTTTGAACCTTGATAATCCAGCCACTATAAATTCGAGGATTGTTAGGACAAATGAAAAATTGCTCCTCAAAAACTTTGGCTTGATGAAGCTTTAACCAGTAGTTATATAGACTGAAAATATTTATTGTGGAAATATGCATCTTCCCCAATTTTTTTATTTTTTTTATTAGGTAAAATATGCATAACTTTGAGACATATATGTTTTATAATTGAAATCAATAAAGAAAGGAACAAAAGCAGAAAACATTTACACCAAGGCGTTTTACAGACTTTCTATTCATTTTAAGCAAGGAATATTTTGGATCATAATATATGCTGAAATGCAGAATTGTGTATCTGGAGAAAACATGGCCTACACTAAACCATTCATATCACAAAATAAAGAAAACACCACGAAGCAAAATACTGTAGTTCCATGTGTCTGGAATCCTGTCTGTTTTGAACAAAGGGCATTTGTCCTGGTTGTCACTCTTGCTTCCAATTTAGACTGAATTTGATTTTGATTTCTGTTCACAGGAAAGTTTACACATATGTAGCATAAGGAGTAATGAAGAGGACGCATTCATTGCTTATTTACTTCATTGGACTGGAGAAAGATTCAGTCCGTATCCTACTGGGGGAATTTTCCAGTTGGCTGTATACGGCGAAGAATTCACCGATATGGCGGTCACAGCAATGTCTATCCGGAAGAATGCGTTTCCATTTATATAATTCTGTCTGTATTTTGGCAGCACGGATGTTATAGTGTGGAAACGATTTTTGGACTACTGCGGTAATACAGTGTGGTATATAGATGTGATATTTCAACATGAACTTAAACAAAGTTATGAGGAAGTTGAACTGAACACAAAAATCATATTGTGAGTGAGTGGGTTCTGGATCTTGACGTTATCTTACATATTATGCATGTTTGCAATATTATGAAAGTGGTGTTTGATGGTCATAGACTGCCAACATGATGAGAAGTAGCGGGTGGTAAAACCAGGCGGGGATAGTCTGGCAATATCCATAGAAACCAGTGTACTGGACTGGGTCTACGGAATAGTGAGGCTCTTTTGTACAGCATAGATCTACAATGGTCTAGGCACATGGACACAAGAATGCTTATTCAGTGAACTTATTCATAACTATTAAATTCGCTCCATTGGTACATGTGCAAACGAAAGAAATTTGTGAAGTTGAAAGGGTCCCAAAATATGAAATATAGATATTGATTTTTTTTTTTTTTTAATTCAGAAACAAAAAATCTGAGTGTCTGAATGTATGTTGATGAATTATTTATATCTATTACATGTGATTGAAAGGTCATTAAATATAGAATATGTCCCGTCGAGTCATTCGTCGGGTTTTGAGTTGATTTTGTTGGTATATTCTGTGTTCTTTAATGGAATTCATAAATTCCTTTTAAAAAAAACCCAGATTTTTTCTAATACGTGAATAAAAAACACATGGTCCAGTAAATAAACTAGCCTACTCTTGAAGTGTTTTGATGTTACTATGATGCTGTTGAGATTTTAATGTTACCAATGGATAGCCTTATTTTGACTAAAATTTGAATTGTTTCAGTCTTTTATATTTCATGAGATATACACTTTCACAATACACAGGTTTTAGGCTAAATTGCCATGTCAGTGTCGGTGGGGTTTGAAATGAGGAAAAAAACGTTTTTAGAGAGTTGGGTATTGGGGGAGGCCCAGGAAAACCTTTCTGAATCCAACACCAAATAATGGATATACAGAGTCATCAGCACTGTGGTGGAATTGGATGATATCAAAAGTACTGCTACCTTCCTTATTTGATTAAGAAAAGAAAGTGACATCTTGAAGGATTGCTGGGAAAGTTCTGTAAAATGGAACAAAAGGCAGAAAATTCAGTTGAAAACCTCTCCTTTATACAGAATTTCTGTGGTATGGATAGCTGTGATTAGGATTTTGTTTGGCATTGAACTGATCAGCCTAAGGGATGTAGTTCCTTAAAAAGGATTTTTTTCTGAATACGGTATGCATGGGGAATATTATGTATTGATTAATAATTGTTTCAAAGTGTGTATGTTAAAATTATCATTTTTTTTTTCCTCCCCTGGATAAATGAAGGCTGTTTGTAGGTTTATTTTCATTCAAAATTTTATCTGGGTTTTTGAAGGGTTTTCAAATTGCCATATGTATTATGCTTTTGTCTTATAGTAAGACTCCACAAGGAACTTCTAGTATTCTATTTTAACATGGTGTGTATCCATACCTTACTTTAACCTCTGTCAGGTGGTCTTACCTAAGATGTTGGAACTTGTATCGCAATGTTAATAGGTTTATTGAGATTCGAAATGAAATGATGAAGAAATGACAACCGAATGCTAAGACTAAGAAACTTGGCCCGTATTCATTAAACTATTGTACTACAGTTGCTCAAGCTTTCATCTTTAACTGTTGCACCACTGTAGACCATAATGGACCCCTCCATACCAATGCATGGTAGAGTCTACTAAAGTTACATAGGGGTGAAAGGGTTAAACCAAGGTTCTTGTTTACTTTGCCAAGTTCTTACGACAGAATGATAGTCTAACAGTTAAGAAGTGTTGTGATACTGGGGTGTTGAGTACATTGTAAAGTAGGTACATTGTATTGCTAAGTACTTAGCTTGTAACTGCTTTTACAAAAAGTAATAGTGCGAGTTTAGGGTTGTCTGGTTGGGTGTTAGAAATCTTGTGATAAATCCTGTCAGAAGTTTCGGGCTGTTGTAAATCTTGTCGGTGTTTACTGGCAATTAGGACCCAGTTCAGTGCCTGTTAAACTTAACAACTCGTAAAACTTAAATCCGTTAACAAAAAAAAAATGAATGTAATATTTGTAATTTAAATGACCTGTAGAGAATTTGGGATGATCATCTGTAGATAAAATAACAAAAACTACTTGGAAGATATTTTTAAAAAAAATTCATTTTGAAAATTTGTGTCAGTGACTCATTAAGCTCAAAATCTGAAAACAATGGATTTAAATATGAAGGAATGAATTGATGTCACAGAATGTCAAACTGTTGGTGTTTTCAATGAAGGGATGCAATAGTTAAGCATCACATTTATCTCACAAACACGTATTTGTTTAGATCGACAGATATTGTATAGGGTTAACTAGTATTCATCTGCTTCAAAGAAATGCTCCTCAAATGTTGAAAAATAAAACTGACGAATGTCATGTTTACAGTCACCAGAGTAGATAACCGTCAACTGTAGGGTCCTATGTAGTGTACGATGTATGTAGGTTCCCGTGTGATGTGAACATGGATCTAGAGCGTTTTGAAGACATCAACCTTACAGTCCATATATACCCATTAGTTGATGATTTATCGAGAGAAGCATAGCTGCTAGAAGGCTTGGTGGGTTTTCCTAATATATTGAAAATAATTGACTATTTACTATGAAATTTTATATGATTAACCTTCCAATATTCTTTAAAATTGCCATTATAAGCAAGATGGTAAATTATAGTGATTGCTTATTAGGTTTATATCGTTGTAAAGATGGTTAGTTCTGTAATGCAATTCTACAAACATGATTAATTTTCATCTACTTTTACGCAAAAAATGTTGGGGTACCCAGTTTGCTTTGTCAGAAATAGCAACAACTCTTATCGTGCAGTTGAAGGTTAAGATTTGTTCACAGAAAACCTGGAGCCGAAATAAAAGGAACTGTTTGTTTTTATTTAGCGTGAAGTATTGGTATTGAAAGTGATCCTCTGTTCAGTGTTAAACCTCAAAGGAACTGTAGCAGTACAGATAATTTGTAGTGGTGGATCCAGAGTCCAATCTGACGGTGTTCTCAAAAATATCCAAATGGAAAAACTATAACCTGGGATTGTTGGGGCTGAAGCTCTAGATCTGCCACTGTTGTACTAGAGACTTTGTTGTGGACGCTGTGTAGGTTATATAGCTGGTAACATCCAGAAGGTCCTCCAATGCTGACTGTTAGATGATCAGCTATGGATTAGCATTGGTTTTCGTTCCAGTGAAATGTCCTATATTAAGTATGCCGGTGGATGTATGTGAGTATGAATACATGTGATCTACAAACAGTGAACTTGTCTTTGTCTCTTTATTCAAAAGTATCAACAGTACATATGTGATATCTAGAAATAATTTGTGTGAATTAAAATACACCAATACTGTCTTTAGGAAAAGACAAACAAAGATGGCCATGGCATCACAAATTTAGGTACTATACACCATAGATTGTGAAGACTCGCATACACTTGATCCAATTACATATGATCTGTTTTTAGGTCACCTGAGCTTTAGCTCAAGTGACCTATTGCTATCCGTTTTCGTCCGTCGTCGTCCGTCGTCCGTCGTCCGTTAACATTTTACATTTCAAACTTAAAGTCAAGTTCTGCTGGGCCGATTGAACTGAAAGTTGGTAGGAATGATCGCCTCATGGTCCTGACAAAGTGTTGTTATTTTTCGGGTCAATCAGAAATACAATTTGGCTGCCATGGCCGCTATTTTGCTACTAAGTTCTAATAGGCCGATCTCACTTAAAATTGGTCTAGGAATGATCAGCTCATGGTCCTGACAAAGTTAAGTTAACATTATACTATTTTTTACTCAAATTGGTACATATTTCAACAACAAAAATAAATACTGTAGACTCAGGTGACCGTTTAGGCCCATGGGCCTCTTGTTATATACAAGAGGCACATGGGCCTTAACGATCACCTGAGTCCTATAGTATAAATTTTTGTTGTTCAAATATGAAGTGGAGAAAATGATATCAATCATCCCTACCAAAATTTGAGTAAAAAAAAGTTTAGTATAACTTTAAGTTAAGTTTGTCAGGACAATGAGTTTACCATTCCTAGACCGAGTTTCAGTTAATTTGGCCTATTAGAACCTGATTTTAAGTTTTAAATAGTTTTTCAAAATGGTGGCCATATTGGATTTCTGATCGACCCCAAACATAACAACACTTTGTCAGGATCATGAGATGATCATTCCTACCACGTTTCAGTTGAATCGGCCTGGTAAACTTTACTTTAAGTTTGAAATAGTTTTTCAAAATGGCTGACCCTGGCGGCCATATTGGATTTCTGATCAACCCGAAAAATAACAACACTCTGTCAGGACCATGAGTCGATCATTGCTACCATGTTAAAGTTCAATCGGCCCAGTAGAACTTGACTTTAAGATTGAAATAGTTTTTCAAAATGGCTGACCCTGGTGGCCATATTGGATTTCTGATCGACCTGAAAATTGACAACACTTGTCAGGAACATGAGTTGATTAAACCCGAAGGGCCAAGTGAGATTATGGCATGGTGCAGCGTCCGGCATCCATCCGGCGTCAACTTTTTACTTTAAACAACTTCTTCTGAATAACCAAGAGGCCAAGGCTGATGATATTTGGCCAGTAGTATGCTGGGATGAAGGGCTACCAAGCTTGTCCAAATGAATGTCCTTGACCCACTTTCAAGGTGACAGGGGTCAAATGTCTTAAAATCTTCAAACGATTTCTTCTCAATAACCAAAAGGCATTGGGTACTGATATTGGGCCTGTATCGTGCTGGGATGAAGGGCTACCAAGTTTGTAAAAATGAATGACCTTGACCCACTTTCAAGGTGACGGGGGTCAAATGTCTTAAACTTTTCAAACAACTTCTTCTCAATAACCAAAAGGCCCAGGGTACTGATATTGGGCCTGTAGCATGCTGAGATGAAGGACTACCAAGTTTGTTACTCACTTTCAACCTAATGTCCTTGTTCGACATTCAAATGTTTAAATCTTTTAATAGGTTCTTATGAACAAACACTGATATTCTGGCTGTAGCTGTATTTTAGTCCACTTTTAAGATTACAAGTGTGAGATTAATACCAGGTGAGTGATGCAGGCCCATTGGGCTTCTTGTTCCTACAAAGTTTCAGTTAAATCGGCCAAGTAGAAATTGACTTTAAGTTTGAAATTGTTTTTCAAAATGGTCATTTTGGATTTCTAATCGACCCGAAAAATAACAACACTTGTTCAAGGAGATGGCAGTAACATTCCCATGAAGTATCAATGAAATCCCTTTGATGGTATTTCAGCTTAAAGTCATAGGAGTGTATTGATAAACGGAAATAGGAAGTTCACCCTAGTTGAAAATCCAATGTATGAATGTTGTGTATGTTTGTAATTGATAGAACAATGTGTTCTCTCAATATTTAAGTATTTCAAAGCAATCCAGGCATTAATTCAGCTTTTTTTTTTATCAATGAGTCACATGTGTCCATTTATCTGTACTTCAGGAAACCAGCTACCTATTTCACTCCTTTGAAGTTTTTATTATAAAATTTCAATTTTTTATCGTTTATAGATAATCTATTTTACACAATTTCAGCATTTATTAAATTGATATACATTAATGCAATACTAATGTATGGTAGTTTCATTGACATTATTTTGCAAAAACTCCATTTAAAATCCTTAAAATTCTGACAACCTATATATTTTTTGTGGCAGAAAAATTTCTTTACTTCAAAGCAATATAACTACAAAATTTGAAGAAATTCTACTGAGAAATGGTGACACAATCCTATTACCTTAAGTTGAAAATGTAAAATGTTAACGGACGAAGCACAACGGACGAAGACGGATAGCAATAGGTCACTGGAGCTAAAGCTCAGGTGACCTAAAAATGCAAATGGCCCAGGGATGATTTTTTCCATACCGCTTTTATTGAGGTTCTTTTGCCATGATTGCTTAAATAAACAGGTAAGCGATACAGGCCTCATGTTTTAACACGGCAATGGTCCTTGGCTTTTACAGCTACACGGATACCTTGCCTCGACATCTTCAGCTCATAAACATAAATGGAGGGAAATCTCAATAAATCTTCACACGTAATTTTTAAATGAACATAAAAAGGTGCTTAATTTCTCGCATACTTAAAACGGTACAGTTACATCTATTTGACATTTGATCCTATTAGTATTATTACTATGCATATGATGCTGAATCTGTGTGTTGCGTACCAAAGTATACTGGGGTCACTACGGCGGGTATTTCGCCATGTGCGTAGCAGGACAGTAAACGGTCCTATCTAGCCATCTTGGGGAGTTCACGCTGACCAGCGGATAAAATTAAATCTAAAAGCTATCTGATGGCCATATTGGAAACAATATTTGTGTTTTTTTCCTTTCAATATTTAGTTTTTTTCCAGATTTTCTGACAAGGAAAAGAAGTTGAATTGTTAATGATATTACAGAAACTAATTTTCTGTAGTGGAACTGGACTAGGTTTATCGTCGACGACCAGGTAGCTCGTCCGTCTAGAGTTCGGAGGGTCCCGCGTTCGAACCCGGTCTGGCCGTTATATTTCTCTTTCTCCTGTTACAAAATTGGCGAGGTTGCAAGTATATGGTCTATACATCAAAATTTATGACTATATATACAGTGTATAGTTTAATCCTTTTGACTGCAAACTGACAGAAAAGAAGGAAATATTTGTTCTAGTTTGATGGAATGAATATCTGATCAACAGAGTGTATTCGTTTTCAAGATGGCCACCAAAACATTCATTTTACTGCACAATCAGTTGTCGGATTCCCAGAAAACTTTCTTGCGATATCAATGGAATTCAGAGATTGTGTGTTTGTTTGATACTTTGTTTATATATATATTGTAAAGTTAGCCGCCCTTTAAATAATAATAATAATATTAATAATTGGAGGTTCTTGTATACCGCTTTATCACAACCTCATTCGTAGGTCGTCTCAAAGCGGTTCACAAATTATTATCTGTGGTTATATGGCCTTTGCAACTAGCCAGTACATTTCTCGACTCCCTGGGGAGCATACAGCTGGAGCTTCCATATCGGTGCTAACAGCTAGCATTCAACAATTCTAGCACTGCCCAACCACATACTCATTTACAGCTGAGTAGACTGGAACAAGCGGAGTAAAGTATCTTGCTCAAGGATACAACACAATGCCGTGCTGTGGCGCGAACCTGCAACCCTTTGGTCACAAGCCCGGCATCCTACCACTCGACTACCGTGCCTCCTTAAACAGCTGATGACATTTACAGATAATGTTTTGTAAGATGCAAGATTATGAAATGTGTTTGAATGACAGACATGACAAAAGAAGGAAGAGAAAAATGATGCAATGTTTTGAGTTCATTTTCAAACTCTTAATTCTAGATTCACAAGAAAACAACTAATTTCAAGCTTTATCGGAACTTCTTAGCCGTGGGTAGCAGCTGTTCTGGATTTTGAAGATTGCTATGATAGCGAAGATAATAAAGTATAATTGTATGAGCACACATTCCCATAGTTCTTTGACCAACTGGGCATTGGCAGTTAGTAATCTTTTATTGAATTACTATCATTTGGTGTCATGCTGTACTAAATCCAAACATTTAGTTTAATCTCCATTATCACTAAGCTGTTCACTGATATAGCCTGGAGCTAATGATAGCTGGTAGGTGCCGCACGTTATAGTCATCAAATATTCTGAATTGAACTCTGGAAAAGTGATTGAAGATGTATTCTTTACCAATTCTGACTTTGCTCTCTTTGAGCGAAACAGTTTGTTTTTGAAAGTTTTGTTTTTGAAAGTCGAAACTTCATCTGTTGTTCTGGTGATCTTTGGTAAATTGGCCCCCGCATCCCATTGAGACATGCAGTCACAATCTTTAGCACTTCCTCAATTATATCAATATAGCAATTTTATATTAGTTGAGTTCTAAAAAATGTCCAATGCATAAAGTGGCCATGATAAGATTCTACAATATCAGGATTTAGTAAGTGTCCTCTCAATGTTAGCCTGTAGATCCGAGTGTTGGCTCTGACCAGGCGTACGATATGAGGACATACTGGTATTAATACCAGATGCCTCTAACATTGGCAGGACATCTCTAAAGCCACGACCAACTACTACATTGTCGTCTTGCTCCAGCCATGTGAGCTTGTCTATGATGGGTTTTTTGCTGATCATTTTGGCTTCCATAGAATGGTCCTACTGTGTCCAAAATGTAGCCATCAGGTAGAGCTATGCTCATGACTAAGATAATTTCGCTTCTTTTGGCCACAGTAAGACATTCTCTGAAG